GAGGCAGTGGTGGAAGGCTCTCGGTTTATATGTCTGTCTGTGATGGTTTGTGAGTAAGTGTGTGTGTGTGTGTGTGTGTGCATAAAAACAACACCAGATCCGTGAATTGAGCATGAGAGGCGCCCATCGTTCGACAACCCCGACGTGTCCAATAACCAGATCCCCGACTTGGACTCGCTTTTGCACTCCGATGATGAGGAGGCGCCAGCTGCGCCCTCGGAGGCCGGAACCTCTTCTGTGGACCTGACCGCCCACGAGGCTGTCCAGGCTGCCTGCCAAGCCTTCGGCACCTCCATTGAAATCATCTGGAAAGCCGATCCTGATGAATGGCAAAAACTCATCCAGAAGCTATACCGGAAACTTGCACTCGTTGTCCATCCGGACCGGAATCCGGCTGAGGAGGCCGCAGTACCGGGCTCATGGGTACGACGCGGGAGCTGCAAAGCGCAAGGCGGATTGCGACCGGAAGCTCCAGATGGGGCAAGACAAGGTCACAGAGCGCTTGGAGAAATTAAAGAGGAAGCGGGATGAGGAAGAGGCTCAAATCCGGCTGGACCAATACTGGCTGAGGCGCTCCACAAAGCGGAGCTCCAAGTCATCGAGAAGTGGGAAAAGGAGACCGGAATGACAGCGACTTCTGCAAGTTCCCAAAGCATCCAGGCCTCTGGGTTTAGGGTTTAGGGGCGACTGCGGAGTGCGAAAGGGAAACCGGCATGAGAGCTGGTTCTTGACATGTCTAGGCTTCTTGCTCACAGGACCGTGGTCCGCGAGCAGCTCGAGGAGTGGGTTCCAGTGCTAGTACGGTTGGTTCTTGGTTCTTGGCCCTGATTTGTGCGCTTGAATTATACCTTCGTTGATTCCAAAAAGCTTAATTCACATCATTTGCTCCACTCAGCAATTGCTCAGCTGCTCGAGCGAGTGCTCGAGATCGTGGATTGCTATTAAGTGTAATACGATTCCTGTCAGTTTTGCTTGAGTTCCTATTAAAACAATTTGATTCATAGGGTTCGTATGAATTCAATAGGAATCCTATTTACATCAATAAATAGGAACCCCATGAAAATGAATGAGCACCTTGTTGAAATTAATACGAATCTTTTTTTCAAACGTAATAAGAATCCTAGTTCAATTCATAGGAATCTGGTTTGAATATGTAGAAGCTTCCTGTTAAAAATTTCTTGGAATCCTGAATTTAGAGGAATCATGGGAAGCCTATTGAAATGAATAGGAACCCTTTTGAACTCATATAGGAATGCTATTACAATGAATAGGAACCCTACAAAATTTTCTATGAAAAGTTTTAAGAGTAACAGGAATCTGTTTAAAATGAAGATGAGTCCTATAAAGATTAGGAGGAACCAATAGAAGTCGATAAAAAGGTAACGTGAGCCCTTTGAAGCAATAAGAGTCGTACTGTTTGAATGATTATGAACCCTATTGAAATTTTTAAGTAATAGGATTGCTATTAATAGTACTAAGAATTACAATAAAAGTACTTGGAGTCTAATTGAAATGTAGATTCAAAAAATATAGGAACACTGTTGAATCTAATAGGATTCAATCCTATTAACATGAATGAGAAACCCTGTTAAAATGAATACGAAGCCGAGTACCTGTTCAAATGAATAGGAAGCTTATCAAAGCAAAAAGAACCCAATTAAAAAACTGAATAAGAAGCCTATTCAAATTCATAGGGATATGTTTAAACTTTGTTATGAAGCTTAGTAAAATTCTTAGGCTTTCTGTTACAATTATTGGGAATAAGGATGCGATTCACATTACTAAGAATCCTATTCAAACTACTTGAATCTGATTAAAATGAATAGGAATCAAAATTAACCCCAATTATGCCGGCGTAGACCCCAAACAGTGAGGAGGGCCAGAAAAAGCCAAAGAAGGCCAGAAGAGCCCGACACTCCCGGGACAAAAAGTACAAAAGTTCGTGGGGGGCTGAATTCCTTTGGCGGTCAAAAGACGCCAACCACTGGGGGATTCGGCTTTGCACGCGTGTGGAACTTGGGGTCAAAAAGGCCCGTGGCCAACCACTGCAGGCCTGAAGAGGCCACAGGAGGCCGGAACGGACTTCGCGCGAGACCAACAGCGGGAGCATCGAAATGCAACGGAATTCGCGCGAAACCACAGCGGCAGCATCGAAACGCAACGGAATTCGCGCGAAACCACAGCGGAAGCATCGAAACCAAAAGGCCCCGTCCCACCGCGCGCGCCGTTGGCAACCTAAGTGGCCCCCCCAGAAGAGGCCTGAAGAGGCCACGAGAGGCCGGAATTCGCGCGAAACCACAGCGGGAGCATCGAAATGCAACGGAATTCGCGCGAAGCCACAGCGGCAGCATCGAAACGCAACGGAATTCGCGCGAAACCACAGCGGAAGCATCGAAACCAAAAGGCCCCGTCCCACCGCGCGCGCCGTTGGCAACCTAAGTGGCATCCCCAGAAGAGGCCTGAAGAGGCCACGAGAGGCCGGAATTCGCGCGAAACCACAGCGGGAGCATCGAAATGCAACGGAATTCGCGCGAAACCACGGCGGCAGCATCGAAACGCAAAGGAATTCGCGCGAAACCACAGCGGGAGTGTCGAAACCAAGACCCCGTCCCACCGTGCGCGCCGTTGCGGTCGGCAACCTAAGTGGCACCCCCAGAAGAGGCCTGAAGAGGTCGCGAGAGCCGGAATTCGCGCGAAACCACAGCGGGAGCATCGAAACCAAAAGGCCCCGTCCCACCGCGCGCGCCGTTGCGGTCGGCAACCTAAGTGGCCCCCCACAAAAGGCCGAAGAGGCACGAGAGGCCGGAATTCGCACAACACCACAGCGGGAGCATCGAAATGCAACGGAATTCGCGCGAAACCACAGCGGCAGCATCGAAAAGCAACGGAATTCGCGCGAAACCACAGCGGGAGCATCGAAACCAAGGCCCCGTCTCACCGCGCGCGCCGTTGCGGTCGGCAACCTAAGTGGCCCCCCCAGAAGAGGCCTGAAGAGGCCACGAGAGGCCGGAATTCGCGCGAAACCACAGCGGGAGCATCGAAGTGCAACGGAATTCGCGCGAAACCACAGCGGCAGCATCGAAACGCAACGGAATTCGCGCGAAACCACAGCGGGAGCATCGAAACCAAGGCCCCGTCTCACCACGCGCGCCGTTGCGGTCGGCAACCTAAGTGGCCCCCCGAGAAGAGGCCTGAAGAGGCCACGAGAGGCCGGAATTCGCGCGAAACCACAGGGGGAGCATCGAAATGCAACGGAATTCGCGCGAAACCACAGCGGCAGCATCGAAAAGCAACGGAATTCGCGCGAAACCACAGCGGGAGCGTCGAAACCAAGGCCCCGTCCCACCGCCGCGCGCGCGGTTGCGGTCAGCAACCAATTCCTTTAGGCTTTCGGACCGAGACTAGAAAGGCAGGACCCCCAGCCCTCACACTCGCGCCACGTAGGGATGGGGGAAAGATCGCGCTCACCAGCACATGCACTACAAGCACAGAATCAGAAGCAGGAACCTGAGGAGGACGATGCCACTATAGCTGCAACAACAACAGTGGCACTCACGAAGGCAGACTATGACACGCTGAAGGCCACAGTTTTGAAGCAGGATGCCAGATTGAACACTGTCGAGTGGAAATCCGCGAAAACAGCGTCACTTCTGCATAGAGACCAAGAACTTGAGGCGTCAAAACAGCTGCTCCTCATGGGATGGCCGACCGGCATGAGCGAACAAGACCGTGACAGAGAAATCCGTAGCATGGCACAGTACTATGGGGTAGTGGACAAGTTGCAGGGCACCACCACGCTGAAGAACAAGCAAGGACTTGGCCACTTCACCATTGTGCACATGTGGGACAAAGACGCGCGTAACACCTTCCTGCACCAAGTCAAGAACGACCCGCATAAGCTCAAGGGCAGCACCATCGTAGGAAGACCGCAGATACCCCGCTACCGCCGTGAACAAGATGCTCCCATGAAGTGCGCCATGAAGGCACTGGCGACCATCTATGGCGGCAACCCCAAATTCCGACCAACCTGGGAACTGCAGGCCCTATGGCATGAAACCGAATGGGTACTAGCAGTTGCTACGGACGCAAGCGATGCAACCAAAGTGACAATCTTCGTCCCCGATGACAAGAAAGAGGAGTTTGGGAATCAGTTTGCGGAGGATTGGCCGACATGGCAAAATCGGGGCAACCAGACGGAAGGCAGTCCACAAAAATACCTTCGCATCACCATTGCCGCCTTCACCGAGGAAAATTTGCAGGAGCTGAACGACCGCTACGCAACTATGAGCACGCGCTCCCGCAGCTCCAAAGCCTCGGACGACGTTGACATGACGACGGCTGAAGAGGAGTCCGGTTCCCGCTACCCCGCCAAAGGCAGGGGAAAGCGCTCGTCTTGAATTGTACATAGCGGCACGCGTACTCTGCGCAGTACAACCGCAGACCGTAATAAACACTCACCTCGCGCAAATTCTTCACATACGACCACTTCTTGCACGACCATTACTTACTCACACCTGCCAATGCGCCGCCCAGCAGGCAAGCCGGGCACACCGCGAAGCAAATCTTTAAAGAAGAAGCGTTTCACGACCATTTTTGACGACCATGTTGTATGCAATAATCACACAAATTCAAAGCTTCAGCGGCTACAGAGACACACTCGGTCAGCAAAAAAGAGAGGTAGGAGGTCTACACTTGCAACCACACAGAGAAAAGCAAACTTGGCCACCAAGCGGTCGCAACACCGCCGGTGGTATAGATGGTGTAAATCAAATGTTGGCTACTTTGAAGAAGGCCTAGACAGGCGCCGTCCGGGCAACGGTGGCCTCACCTGCTCGAAAGCAACTGCCTCTCAGCCCTTGAAAGACACCCGGAACGCGGGTTTGTTTGCTTACGAAGACCATACTGAGAACAGAAAGCGTTCACCTCATTTATCCAAGCTTTTTCATGGTACTTCACTTAACATTGCTACCCTCAACGCCTGTTCCCTTTTGAAACCTTCAATGCATCATCAGATTGTCCAGTACATGAAGTCCAAGTGCATTGACGTCCTTTGTCTACAAGAAACCAAAGCCAAGCGTACTTCTTACTACATGATCGATTCGTTTACCTTCTACACATTCAGCAATGCGAGCCCCGACAAGCAGGAGCACTATGGTACAGGTTTTGCGTTGTCGCCTGCGGCAAAACGAGCGCTCTTACGCACACTCCCTAGCAGCAGTAAGGTGGCAGGAATTAGTTTACACACGGGAGCTGGGGAATTTTCAGTCATCACAGGTCATGCGCCGCATAACCAGCACACCGAAGAAACCAAGCAGGCTTTTTACGACGAACTCAACCAGCTCATAGAAAAGGTGGAAAACCGAGGCCCTTATCTCATTATGGGAGACTTCAATGCACGCATCCATGGTAGAATGCACGATGAGGATCTTGTCTTGGGGCCCCATTTGTACGGGAAAGGTGTTGGTTCGGTGGGAGGCGAACTGGATAACAGGAGCTTTCTCATCAATTGCTGCGTCCAAAACCAGCTCCTGGTTTCCAACACGTGGTTCAAGCACAACTCCGCCAAGCAGGTCACGTACAGGGAAGTAGGAACCGCTGCCCTTCCCCATGCCTCTGCTTCTTGGGACCCCAACTTGTTTGCTCAACTTGATCTGTGTCTTACCCCCCGGAGATGGAGAAACTTTGTGAGGGACGTTTCTTCCGATCCTTGGGCGAATGTTGACAGTGATCATTTCCCGTTGCTTGCAAAGGTGAGACTCAAACTGGGGGCTAGGCGCCAACAGGCGCCGCGCCCTCGCTGGGATTTCCATAGTGCCTCGCCCAGGAACATCCGCGAGATGAACGAAGCCCTGGAAGCCCGATTGAACGAAGTAGCAGGTCATGAGGACGTGTCCCAAAAATGGGACTTTCTCCGGGAAGTGTTTGTTCAGGCCATGGACGAACACATACCTAAATACCAGTTCGCACCTAGGAAACCCTGGATTAGCCAGAGCACCTTGGATTTGATTACGCGTAGAGGTGTCCTGCGCAGCCAAGGCGACCTCCAGCAGGTGGCAAAGTACAACAAAGACATTAAGCGTTCTGCAAAACGGGATAAGAAAAACTGGCTCGAAGAGCAACTACAATCAAATTCGTGGGAGCCGATTAAGCAGCTCAAGAAATCGTTCCCTACAAAGATGGTTCGACTTGAGCCTTCACCAAGTTTAGGGATGTCAGCAACAGCCACAAATGCGGATATCTATGCCGCTCACCTAGAGCAGGTGCAGTGGGCTCCTGCAAAGTCGAGTGGGGTTGACGATCTCTGCACGGATCTTTTGCCACACGCTGCCCCGGACATCGAAGAGGGCCCTTTGACCATGGCCGAACTCATTCAGGCTATTAAGCATCTCAAATCCGGCAAGAGTGCGGGACAAGATAATATTCCTAATGAGTTCTGGAAGAACCTTTCCGGCAAAGGCTTAGAGGCTCTTTTGGACTTGTTTCAAGATTGTTGGAGTCACGGCAAGAGTCCATCGTCTTGGAAGCAGTCCCAGGTTATAGGCATATTCAAGAAAGGTTGCGAGAGCGACCCGTCAAATTTTAGGCCAATTTCTTTATTGCAGACTTGCTACAAATTGTACGCCAGGGTGCTGGCTGCGAGGTTGTATGCAGGTCTGGACCCTGTGCTCCGTGACAATCAGTTCGGTTTTAGGCAAGGTAGGAGTACGAGCGACGCTATTTTTCTTGTTCGGCGCCTGCAAGACCTTGTTGATGCCAAGCGCAATCAAGTTCTGCACTTGTTGTTTTTGGACTGGAGCAAGGCTTTTGATACGATCAAACCCGCTGCGTTACACCTGGCGCTGCGTCGGTTGAAGGTGCCACCAACCATGTGCAAAGCAATCCTGGACCTCACGGCGTCTCCGGTTTTTCGTGTTGTTGTGGATGGTGAGGTTTCCGGGCTTAAATCTCAGTCCAGCGGAATACGACAAGGATGTACCCTTTCACCTTTGCTGTTTATCGCAATGCAGACTGTTATGTTTCATGACATTCAAAGGACCTTCCTTGCGCAGCACCCGCTCGCTGTTACCCCTACAGTCTCCATGTTTGATATTGAGTTTGCTGATGATACTGTCTTGATATCTAGGAATTATGAGCATTTGCAAACTTTGTTGCAGATTGTGCAAACGGAAGCTGCAAAATACAACTTGCATCTCAATCATGGCAAATGTAAGCTTGTGTCCTACAACAGTCAGGCGGAGATCAACTTTATGGATGGCAGTAAGGTCCCTAAGGCCACCTCTGTGGTTTACTTGGGTGCTGTCATTGACTCGCAAGGTAGGCCGGGAAACGAAATCTCTAAACGAATTGGGGAATGCAGGCAGGTCTTCAAGAAGCTTATGCGGGTTTGGAAACACACAGGCATTTCGCGTGAAAGAAAACTGCGCATTTACTATGCTTGTGTCGTCAGCAAGTTGACCTACAGCATGTCTACCATGTGGCTCACTGATAAGCATAACAAGATGTTGGACGCTTTTCATATTAAATGTTTGCTTTCAATTGCAGGCATTCCCACCACTTGGGGTGCTATGGTCATCGGATGTGAACGGATCCCCAACGAACAAGTACGTAGTCAAATGGGAGTGCACTATCTTTCGGACGAGGTCAAACTACAACAGCTGTCTTTGCTAGGTCACGTTTTGAGAAGACCTTTGACCCATCCAGCCAGGGTTCTCTCTTTCGATCGTTTTCTTCAGCCACAAGCATTAGGAGGCCCGTATAGAGCTGGTGCAAGAAGACATAAATGGAACGCCAAAATCTTGGAGTTAGCTATGACCATTACTCACGACCAATACTTCGGGGCGAGAGCAGGTGTGGGGGAACGTGAAATCAAATCTAAGCTGTTGGAGGTGTCGCAAAACAGACAAACTTGGTCTTCGGTTCTTCAGCGTGTCCGTAGTTCTTGGCGTCGCCCACGGGATGCCGCTGGTGCCCCACGGCAATGAAAAAAACCAATTCCTTTACCCTGAACGTAAGAACCCCATTGTGCAAGCACTGTTTGGGGAATAAAAAGTTCATAGGTCGCATTCCACAGATTGGATGCGATTGTGGCAATTTTGGTCAAATGCTTCCCCCGATTCGGTTTCTCATCCCAGCCAGGGTGCCAAGTGCACTGTTCTTCCATGACGTATCTGCGGATCGTTGCGATCCAGGCCAAGAGCACGGCACAGAACCGATTATCCGGCAGGGCTTCTTGACAACATTCGCGAAAGAAGGTTGCTATTGGCATCACAAAGCAGGACTGCTTTCTGAATTGCCGTTCTGGCTTGAGTGAGGATCGCACTAAAAGGGTATTGTCCGGGTTGCGGAGTGCCTAGATCGTGAATGATGGCGTTGAGCGCCCATCTGCTTCTCCATCTGAGAAGAAGCCCAAATTTGGACAACGTAGCACCGGTTTCAGGGTCCATTGCCCTGGTGCCTGACAAAATCGAGCACTCCCGCAAGGTGTTTGGCCTGAATCCAAGGCCTGCGAAGAATGGTTGAGCTGGCGATAGAGAGCGCTTTGAGGAGATGTTTTCGAGAGAAGGCGTAAAGAGAATTGCAAAAGAGGGGACAAGAAGCAATAAAAGAGGTATGAAACGAAATGCGAGCAGGCATGGAAGCAGTAAGAGAAGTGCGTTCCGGCGGAGCATGTTGCCTAGTGCCTTGCCCAGAACGAGCGTGCGTAACGCAGCATCGGAGATCTTCCCTTGCAGGATCCACTCAATTTCAGGAACTGGCGACCCAACATTCCGTTCGAATTTTGCGATGCGTCCTCTTAGGACAAAGCCCAGCATTGTCGCAGTCTCCGCTCAAACTTTAGGCCCCCAAGGTGTATCGTCCAGGAGCATAATGTCTCCATGCAATGGCAGCAAAAGCTGTCATTGTGGCCTGAATCTGCTGTACGTTCTTGAGTTGATCTTGCACAGCACCGCTGTCGCCACCATGTTCCGCACTGCCCCAAGTGACCACTGATCCATCATCACAAATGGCAGCAAAGGCCGCTTCATTGGCCTGGATATGCTTCTAACAAAGAGTTCACTTTCCTGCCCGACATGTTTCACGCTGTGTATAGGCTCAAAACGCACCCCTCGTGAAAGTCGCGAGTGAGAGGAAAAGAGTGCTGAGAACCTGTGTTCTAGAAAGGTTGATTTTAGCCGTTTTAGCCTTTAAACTTTTATGGTAGCGGAGCTGTTGGCGAAGGCCAGCAGCTGAAGAAGCAGATCCAGGGAAAGAAGGTAAGCCCAGCCGAAGGGCTGGCAGCCAGCCAACGGGCTGGAAAGGAGAAAGAAGAGAAGCAGGAGTTAAGGTTTATCAACTACGCCCTGCGAGAGAAGAAGTTCGTTTTCCGGTGGGCGTTATCACCGGAGGAAGTCGGAGGACATCGAGAGTTAAGGTTCATTAACTACGCCTTGCTGCAGAAAATGAAATTCGAGAGGACAGCAAGAGTTAAGGTTCATCAACTACGCCTTGCTGAAGAAGAGCCTTGAGTCTGGACGACTTGCCTACATCGTCAGAGCAATGGCAGAACAACAAAGAAACTTTGAAGCAATGCTGGCTGGCATTGGCCAGGCCACAGAAGCTCTAGGAAGAGTTGCAAGCCAAACAGCGACTCAACAGCAGCAGCTGACAGAAGCAATGCAAAGGCTTACTGAGGCAGCCAGCCAAGGTGCTGCCCAAGCTGCGAGAAACTCCCCGAGAAGTTTGGGAGGTGAAGGAGCGCCAAGGGCGCAACCCTCAGGTGTCCCGTTCGACACCGGAGGAAAAATCTTGAAGCCGCCAGAAGTGTTCAACCCGGCAACACTGGAAGAAGAAGTCTCTCAAGAGTTTCGCCTTTAAGAACTTTCTAGCATTCATGGACTATGAGTTCCTGGCAGACTTGAAGAAAGCCGAAGCATCAACGGATGCACTGGACATCGAGGATGACATCGATGAATTTTATGAGCAGCTACTTGAAGAATCGTCCGTTGAAGGTGTTAAGAAGCATCGACAACATGGATGGATTTGAAGTCTGGAGGCGACTCACAATGGAGCCTGATACTGGTGATGCCTTTGCTCCAGGGCAGCCAGCGGGCTGTGTCCTGAGTGGTTCTGAGCTCACTCTGCAGTTCCTGCTGGGATGTGGCTTGGTCTCATTTGCGCCCCAGGTCCACTGACGGAGGTGCTCTTCCTGCAGGTCATGATGCTTCGGTGCTGCTCGCAAGACCTTCTGCATGCCTCCATGAGTGTTAGCTTGTTGTGTTACACTACTGGACTTTCGCGTGCAACCAACCCTGGAGTCTGTTTGCTGTCATGCCAGCGGCGTCCGCGCATGTCTGGTCGTCGCACAGACCCTGGGCCGTAGACAGCGCTCCAGACAGCCGACTCAGAAGCCGTATTAGCGAAACACACAGTACACAGTGGGTGGCCTAAAGGAGCATACAGGAAAGCAACCAAAGCAGCGCGCACTGAGCCAGAAGCTCCCACGAGGCAATGAAGTTTTGCGGGTTCGCGTCAGCAGGGAACCACTCACGCCACTGAAACAACTCTGACGGGGAGAAGTGGGCTTGAAAACAAGCAGTGCGACCACAAGGGAGCTTATGAAACCGCCCAAACCCGCGGCAACTGCGCTCGCACAGGCGTCCAAGCTTCAACTTCCAATCGCGGTGGCAGGAAAAGCGACACCAGCGGTGCGTGGGAAAGGCACAGATCCAGCCAGATCGCCAAGACGTGTCTGGAGGAGTCCGACAAAATGATCTGTGCAGAAGCGGCAGACTATGAATCCAAAAGCGACGGCTGGATGGCACGATACTGCGGAGGTCAGTCAAGCAGATGTGGTTGACCCGCACCACACGGGTGCGAATTGGCAAAAGCAGCCAGCGGCAGCCGCTGGTGACACAAGAGTCCCATGACAGTGCATCAATTAACAAGAGGCCAAGTGTCGGGCGAGACGGCTGTCAAGGTGACGGCGTAGTTGCGCTGGTCAAAGAGGAGACAAGGTGGGACGAAACGCGAAGAGGGAACTCAGCCAGAGAAGTTTGCCTGTCACTTTCTCCAAATGAGTAGTGGAGCACTGCCGCATCGACAAGGTTGGGACGAGAGGGCAGACAAGCGTAACTGCTTCCCGGGTCCAGGCAGACGGTGACAGAGCCGCTTTACGCATGACGGGTACATTGATGCACAGCAGGAGGACCACAATGACAGACGCCCAGACGCAGATGCCGCATCCAAAACAAACAGCAGGTCATCAACATGGCGCAGAATGTCGGACACGTAAGAGCCGGTGCAGCAGACGGACCAGAAGGCCAGCCAGCCAGGACCAATAAAAGCCAGACGCACTATCCCGCTATGTGTGTAGCCTCCGAGAAAAATTGCGCAAGAAGCAGAACAGAGACCTTACAGTTGCAGAATCCATCAGTTGCAAAATCCATGAAACTCGACGTCTCAGCTGCAGTGTAACAAAGTAAACCAAAACCTCTGGTCTCTAGATTCCGCCAGCGTCAAGCGTCAAACGATTCACAAATATATAGAAGCCGCAAGGGTCAAACGATTCACAACACTATAGAACAACAAGTATTCAGAAAACATACAAAAGCAAAATCAGAGACCAAAAAAAGAGCCACAAAAGAAGTCAGGAAGAATACACAAACAACGCAAACCAAATCAAAAACAGTTTTGCGATCAAAAATATTTCAACAATATAAGCAACTACTACTGCTACTGCTACTGCTACTGCTACTGCTACTGCTACTGCTACTGCTACTGCTACTGCTACTGCTACTGCTACTGCTACGACTACTACTACGACGACTACTACTACTACTACTACTACTACTACTACTACTACTACTACTACGACGACGACGACGACGACGACGACGACGACGACGACTACGACTACGACTACGGCTACGGCTACGGCTACGACTACGACTACGACTACGACTACGACTACGACTACGACTACTACTACTGCTACTCCTACTCCTACTCCTACTCCTACTCCTCCTTACCACCTGACCACTCCTGCGATGACAACACGACGGCTACAAAACCACTACTGCTGCCAATGGTGACGCGTGACAACCACTAACAACAACCACAACCACGACAACCACAACAACCACAACAAGCCGCAGCAACCACACCACAACCGGGGTAGGGTATTTTTTTTGTGTTTTTTCAGGTTTTTTTTTGGTGTTTTTTCTGTTTTTTAAGCCAGAAAGAAAGACAGAAAGAGAGAAAGAAAGAAAGAAAGAAAGAAAGAAAGGAAGCAAGACAGAAAGAAAGAAAGAAAGGAAGAAAGAAAGGAAGAAAGAAAGGAAGAAAGAAAGGAAATAAAGGAAAGAAAGAAAGAAAGGAAAGCAAGACAGAAAGAAAGAAAGAACTAAAGAAAGAAAGGCCGAAAGAAAGCAAAGCAAGACAGAAATAAAGAAAGAAAGAGAGAAAGAAAGAAAGACAGAAAGAGAGAACTAAAGAAAGAAGGAAAGCAAGACAGAAAGAAAGAAAGAAAGAGAGAAAGAAAGAAAGAAAGAAAGAGAGAAAGAAAGAAATAAAGAAATAGAGAAAGAAAGAAAGAAAGAAAGAAAGAAAGAAAGAGAGAGAGAAAGAAAGAAAGAAAGAAAGAAAGAAAGAAAGAAAGAAAGAAAGAAAGAAAGAAAGAAAGAAAGAAAGAAAGAAAGAAAGAAATACAGAAAGAAAGAAAGAAATAAACCCCCCCCGCTTTGTTTAAGCCGTGCAAGTTTGCCTCAAAGCATATGCCATATGCACACTTTTGCGGAAACCCATCATGCGAGAATCGTCACATTTTCGGAAACCCATCATGCGAGAATCGTGTTTGCAAATGGGGGGGGCTGCCCCCCCCCCAACCCCCCCGCTTTCTCAAGCCGTGCAAGCTTGCCTCAAAGCATATGCCATATGCACACATTTTCGGAAACCCATCATGCGAGAATCGTGTTTGCAAATTGCGCCCCCCCCAACCCCCCGCTTCCCGCAACACACCCTACACCCTAAACCCTAAGCCGTAGTTCCGGACTGAAGGGGCAATGATACGAGGAGCAACCTTGACCCCGCAAACCGTAGAGCCTAATAAGACCCAAACCGTCCACCATAAGCCGCAAATCCTGATAGAACGTCCGACGCTCCAAGCGCGAGTTGCAAAAGGACGAAGGGTTGGACGTAATGTGTTGTTGTAGCACGTTGAGATTTGGACCTGTTCCGGACACGCGGTGCCGCTGAGAGGCCATCGGAAGCTGAAAACCAGCAAAATTCACCAAAAAATCCAGAAAAATACACAGAAAAGAATTCCCACCAGAGGAGGACGACAGGCAGAACCAGGAGGGCATGTTCTGAAAACCACAAGAAGAGCAAGAAAAAGCAAGAAAATTCACAAAAAAAAAAAAAAAAACCAGAAAAATTGACAAAAGAAATCCTCGCTCCCCACAACCGCACCAGAACCCAATCCACACCCATAATAAAAAACCACAACTACAACCCAGCTAAACTGCTTTTAAAATGTTTCAACGGTTTGTGTTTCAAGACAGTCAATTCGAGGCATAGACGACAAATTGAAACAAGTCAATGACTTTTTTGAATTTTTTTGGAAATGCATTTTTCATTTTTTTGCCAACAATCAATGAAAAAGATACTGGGAACACAAGAGTATATTAAATTGATGAATTTACAATTCCAGGCACACTGTGACAATTTCGCGCACAAACTTTTTTTCAAATGGATCGACAAAAGACAAAATCCAAATTTTTCGTGTTGACGAATATTCTTAACGAAAGAAGCTGAAAACAAGATGAGCCTTAATTACTTTTTGCAACTAAATCAACCAAACTGATCTGGCTCAAAAATGAAAAATAAACATGTCCAAAAACACCATACAAAAACACCACGCACAACGTGAAAAAAGTTTTTTGTTGCAAAACCCGTTTAGAAATTGCTAATTTTAAAATTCATGCGTGCCATCTTGTCAGTCAGAATGGAAATTAGAAACATTTTTCGAACAAGAATAGAAAAACAACTTGTTATGGTGTTTTAGAAAACAAAAAACAATTTTCTGAAAATATAATTTCTTTCAAAAGACTCTGAGAACAAATTCAGGCTGAGACCACTGCAGAGAGCTGAACAACGACCCAGCAACACCTTAAAACGATGAAAATTCAACTTAAAAACCTTGAAAAGTGCTGAAACCTGCGTTTTGGAAAATGTGAAGAAAGTGCGCGGGATTTTTTTTTGAAGCGGACACCCCTTTACCACATCAGCAGCACAGTGGGCCAGTCTATTGCGACAGAGACAACTACTTTGAGAGTCAAACTGTACAAGCCACCGAGTGTAAAAGAAGTCGTGACTACAAAGAAGCAACCGCTAGCGCAGAGGCCCTTATTGCAAGACAACTTAACGCAAGGCCAGCGAGGTGAGACCAAGGAAAACAAGAACCTACCGGCACCGATCACTCAGAAGCCCGACACCCATAGCAATGCTGCGCCACGTCTGGTACAGACATTAAGCGAAAGTATGGGTAATGTTGACTTCGCATTAATAAACCCCCCCCCCCCTTCATTGATCAATCTCTCCGGCCAGGGCCTCCTCAATAGTATTCGCCTAAATCCTGGTAGGACGTAGTATTAGTTTACGCCCGTAAAAAAGAAATATTCCGGGCCTGATTTTATAATTGTGGCGGGCTACATTATTGTGTTCTGGCAGCTGGATTTTATAATTGCGGCGGGAATTCCTAATGTGAAGTCAACATTAGGCCGTAAGGCCAAAAACCTCCGTCACCTAAGCTTCCGTAGCACAAGCGCCAGAGCCGTAGCAAAGCATAGCACTCAGTACACCTTCTTGCGACTTGTTTTGCCATAGCAGCACAGCCCTCACGCACGCAATTTGCCACACACAGTTGTAGCACAGCCCTCACAGCACGCGGATGCGTGCTGTGAGGGCAGAAACTTCGCTGCGTTTATGCGCAAGGCACTTCCTTGGCGTTCTCGCTCTTACTTACCAAGGGAAGCGCGCAATGATCAGCGAAGTCTCTGTCCTGGCTGCAAAGTTTAGCAGGGGTGCTTGACCTGCAGGCAATCACATTCTTTGCGACAGTTCTTCGGATTTTTTCGGAGTTGAGGCCGGGATTCTCGTTGCAGGTGTAGGGTCTATGCTGAGTTTCACACGCATGTTCGCGGGACGTCATTGGTGCTGTTTTGGTGTTGCCGGGCATGATCAGGCTCGAAGAACCCACGGCGGAAGCAAGAACGTGCTCCAAGTGCTCCCTAGTGAATGTAGGCACAGATCTTGCAGCCACCGCATATGTTGTGATACAGGTCAAGAATTGCTGAGCAGAGTTTGAACCCACATGGTCACATAGTACGTTTGGGGGCCTACGCGCAGTCGGCAGAGCCCGAGCTTCCGCACCTGTTTCACCGATTGCTGCAAGACGGCCCATCCTCAAGGAATGCAGGACTCCTGGATGTTTGGTGCCTCCGTTGAAACCTCTCCCCGCACACCGCGTGCACCCATGTGCCACATGCACCGCACCGTGTGCGCAAAACACGTCCCCACTACGACACATTGTATGGGGCTTCTGTTGCCTGCACTGTTCATGAGGAAATACACTAGTCCAGTACCTGAAAAAGGCTTCAAGACATGAAATGGGCCGACGCAGGACGTCTTGGAAGTGGTGGCCATACATGAGAAGCAGCCACTTGGTTGTATGATTGACGCTGCGTGTCCTTAGGTCGCTCAGTCAACATTTCTTATTTGGAACATCTCTGTTGCCAAGCGCTTTTGTTGACGACAACCGTCGCAGCATCTCTTTCTACTAGAGCCAGCAGATTGCTGTGCCAATGCCTGTTGCCAGATCAACCCCTGTGACAAAATTGGACCAATGGGAGGCTGGTGGCCATATCGGAGCAGCACTGCCGGGCCTTGGACAGTACTGTCCAGTCTATGAGAGCATCGCGGATGCATCTTTCGGACTTCACGCATCGTCTGGCAATGTGCCAAGGAAATCCAAGGAATGGTGGTTGAGTGGTGGTTGTGTGCAAGATGTTTGCCATTTCAGACTTTGTCATTGCTGAGATGCTTGGGGAGTTTTTCTTTTTTAAATCACCCGGGTTGCACAATTACGCAAGTTGACACAAGTGCACTGTTGTTACCGTGAAGAACACATACACGTGTATGTGTGTGTGTGGTGTGTGTTCGCAGTGATTACACATGTTCATGTTTGGGGTGAGTCAGGTGGCAGGTGGGTGGCTGGAGACTCGGTAGTTGCGGTTCTCGGTTCGGCGGCTTTTATGAAACGTGCGGTTCGCTGCGTTTCCGTAAAGTTACGTTTTCAGCGGTTCGGTTCGGGGTCGGTTCGGGGTCGGTTCGGTTCAGCGGTTCCGGTTCGTTTCCATGTCCTTCCTGTTTGGCTGTAATATGATAGGAAGTCGCTACCAAGCGAGCAGGCAAACGAGCAAAACGAGCAAGCGAGCTGCAACGCTGCAATTATTGCACTGGTCGCGCCTTCTCAGGTCCAACTCGAGGCCTTGAATGTCTTTGGAGGCATTGGAGACGTCGGCGTCCAAGGCGTGGCAACTTTGAGAGCTAGGAAAGCGTGGGTATGCGTGGGTATGCGAGGGTATGGCCAGGGCTGCAGTTGAAAATCGACTTCATCTTACGCCGAATTTCGTGGTAGGCCTCTGCCAGTTCTTTGCAAACCATCAGGTGATGCATCCTCAGGGGGTGGCAGTCGCCGCGAGCTTCACATCTGCCAGGGTCCTTCCCCCACGATCCAGCCGCACATCACGAAAGACACGCCAGCTGCTTTTCCAGGAGCTTGTGAAGATGTCAGTTCCGTCATTCAACTCAGGCTTCATTCGTACACGATGTCTTCTGACTTTGGGCTTCAGACGGTGGGCTTCATCCAATCAATCGTTCTAGTTACATCCTCACTAGGTACATGCTGATCATGTTTTTTTTTGAATTTTGTGTTTCTCGTTTTGAACAACTCCAGCTGAGTGTGTTATGCGTGCTGTCTGTAAACTGGTTGTGAACTTCAACCGTTTCAGTCCTGATAGCTAGTTCTATAACTGAAACGGCATGATGCGATGAGGCGTGCTGGGAACGATTGATTCATGTCTTGTTGGGGCCAGAACTTCCAGAACTTCGGAGAATCCATCATCAGCATCTCCCCTCCAAAAGGGAGGCCTGGGGCTCCAGTGTCCTGAAGTTCACTGAAGTTCGGCAGGGTTCGTGAAGGCCGTACTTGCAACACGATGTTGAACACTGATGCAGGATCTCGAAACCGTCCAAAAACAGCCGGCACTACTTAGACTCCTCATCGTTGATTCCTTGCCCGTAGACTCCTTATGTCTCCTTATGATGTTGTCGACGCCTCTATGCCTAAACTGTGTCTAAAATCCCCGAGGCTGTGAGTCCAGGCCACTCAAAGGGCGCCTTGGAAGCCGATGGGCCTTGGATCGGTTGGGATCGTTTGGGGGAGTTTGGGAAGCCGCTCTGGCGCTAGACTACTTGGACTACTTCGCACTGCTCTGAAGTTCTAGGTTTGACGCTTCATCCGTTCCTTTTCTGGGTGTCGTCTGTTGACATGCCGCAGTGCACGGCCCAAGGGGCCCCGATTATATCCTCTTCCTTGCAGTGTTTGACCCAAGAGACTTCAGGCTCCCAACCGTGCAGGTTCCATGATAGTCCGCTCACCTTGCAACCTTGGTTCTGCCCTTGATGCCGCGACTCCGAGTGCTGTCAGCATGCAGCAGAAATTCTACGAGACAATGGAGAACGAGCTTGAATCCATATTGTACGTAGCTTTTGCGGTCACCGATCTCCCCCAGGCCCTCGGAAGTCCTGTAGGAGAGGGTGCGTAGAACAAGTATGAACGGTGCAACTTTGAAATGCTGAAGCACAGATGGGTTTCTCTGATTGGTGTACCGGATTGGGTTTGAAGTGCGCAGAACGCAGTGGACGAAAGCAATAGGTGCTTGGTGACGTGGTTTTTCTGCAGCTCATGCGAACACTCGGGTGCTCTTGCTCAGATTATGCAGCTGCCGAACTTCTAAGACCAAGCCGCCTGCCTCAACCCCATGCCAATCCCAGCAAACACCGAATGTATTCGATTCCTTACATTCTCGTGTATTCTTCTTGGACTACTTGGATTGTAGACGTGCCGAGAGAGTCCTGGTTGTCAGGTTCAAACATCTCCGATGGCTCGGTGGCTTCAGATGCGGATTCAAATATCTCTGATGCCGCTGTTTCAGGCCTCCTGTAGTTAGCCCCCAAGCTTTGGGTCAGGGCTCATGTTTGTATTCGGGCAGGATTGTACCCCTGGTCAAAACTGGCCCGAGTGGCAGAAATCATGATGGGACTCTAAGCTGGCGGACTACAGTGCATTCTGCAAGGCAGTGAGATCTCCCGTGCACGCATGTAGAGCGACTTACCAAGCGAGCAGTCCCTCGTGGTTAGCCAAAACGTTTTGCATGTTGTTTCATGTGTTATCTGTTGTTTTTGTATGCGTTCTTTTTTGTGGCGCACTGTTGTCTCAATGTAGTGGCTGCTGTCTTTGTCTCACGTGATGGAAGAGACGTTCTAGTCGTTTCTAGCCGGTGTTATTGCTGTTTAGTGCCGCCTGTGTATTGTTGTTTGCTTGCTCTTCTCTGAACATTAGCTCGTTTGTGCTACGATGTGTTACTCGTACGTGCCGTGGGAAGGTTTCTTCTTCTGAAAGCCGGGCGGTGGAACGATCTTCTGCCCACAGGTCAAGTCTACTGAAGCAACGCGCCGGGTAATCACATACCTTCAGCAAATACCTTCAGCAACTGTATGCTGCTCTTGCAGCTGCTTGACAGCAACACCATCGATCTTGACCCTGCGCAGACGTGTCTGCACCATTGTCTTCGGAGAATCAGCTGGCCGAGCGCAGGGCCTCTTGCCATGCAAGCCTTGGCAAGCCAAGCTGTCAAAGCCACAGCGAAAATTGGGGTTCTGCATCTTGTTACTCTCCAGATGTACAGAACAGCGTAAATTAGTGTAGCTCCTTTGAGACTCTCAGATGGTGTTTACATGCAGAAGCTGCAGGAGCAGCCTGGCTCTAGTGACTCTAGTGATTACTGAGGACCCGAAGCACCATTCGGCCAAAGGTCAGAATGAGACGGTCGCCTATATGTTTACGGATCCCTGGAACAGCAAGCAGAGCCAACGCATGGAATTGTGCACGATGGAGGTCGCCCTTTGCCTGGACCATGTTGCGGGGGCTTTGGTGCTTCTGCATTCAGTGCTGCTTATGTTTCAGCTGGAGATGGAGGGTCGCCAGATTGCCTTCCAGCTGGGAGTCGACCAAGAGCGTCAGAATTTCGATGGTGTTCTGCCTATTTTCCAAGTGCTGGACAGCATGTTTGTTTTTATTTTCCTGACAGAGCTCCTCATTCGCATCATCCATGAAAGGTCGAGGTTTGTGAAGGACACGTTGTCGGGCCAGGGTTTTTGAGTTGGCTTCCACGTGTAGAGGCGCATAAAGCACGCGCCCACTCAAAGCCAAACCCTGGAGGACATTGCAAACTGGCTGGACTTCATCTTTGTGGCAGGTGGATTGGTGGACTTTTTTGTGCGGCTTGCTCAAAGCTCTATTGAGTCAATTGGTCGAGCGTGCAATCCTCCCTCTTGCTTGCGCCCCTGTACCTTATGCGTAAATAAGACAGCTCCTCAGCTGCTTTTGGCGACGAAGCGCGACGAATATTCCGTGGGCCATGCAGTGCTGAAACTAGAATCCACAGAGGAACAATCCCCCGCAGCAACCTGAAATGCGTTGGCCCCGTGTCGTGAAACCCTGCACTCGTGAAGTGTGCAGCCGAAGCCGTGTACTGTGCTGCAACTGAAAGGTGCAGGGAGTAGAAAACCCTAAACCCGAAATGTAGAAAACCGCCAAACTCAGCGGGAATTGACAGGGCCCTAAACTGGCCCTAAACCCCAAAAAGAGCCGGAGAGCACAAAACCCTGAAGCCTAAAAGTGGAAATCCTAAACTCTTAAAGGAGTGGGGAGTGGCGAACCCTGCACCCTGAATGCGTGGCAAGCCTTCAGCTGTAGACGGACTGAAACCCTGAACCCCATGAACAGAAAGCCCTGAATCCTCTCAAAGCCCTAAATGTAGAAAGCCGTCCATAAACCTCAAGAGGAGTGGCAATCCCAAACCCTGCCAAACTCTGAGAACAGAGAGTGGGGAGTGGCAAACCCTAAAGGTCGACGACCGTGAACCTGAAAGGACTAAAGAGTGGGAAACTTAAATCCATTAAAGTACGTCAGGAGTGAGCCCTAAACCCACGTAGAAGGAGCCACGTAGCCGAAGCCTCCCTCGAGCGCTAGAGTGTCATGAAGTGTGCTTGGCAACCCAAGTGGCAGACCCTGAGCTCCAAACGCCCGACCAAAGTGGCAGCGCATTCCTCGGCGCAGGTGAGGCTAAACCCTGTCGGTGCAGGTGAGGTCAAAAGTAGTGGCGCAAGCAATCATTGACCCTTGACCTCGTGTGTCCACCTGAGAAAAACGAACTTATCCTTTTCAAGGGTGCCGACCTCAGTACGTAAACTTGTACAGATGCCTGTGCGTGCCAGTCGACGCTCCTTCTGTATCAGCGGTAAGTAGCCACTGTTTGCTCGTGCCACAAGTGACTGTTGTACCGAGGCTGTGCAAATGCTAGCCAATACACCCCAGGTTCTAGGGAAGGGGGCTCTTCGCGAGTGGATTGGCACCGTTTTTGAGGTTACTTCCGTCTTCTCCTGCCCTTTTCCCTCTACAAAAGGCTGCGTTTGGGCACTCGTTTTTCGCGGGCTCACTCAAAGGACTATGGCTCCGTCTGCGCCGGGAGATCAGGACATGGTGGCCTTGTCGTCAGTAGATCCGAGCAACGAGCACTCACGAAAATGTTGTCAGGAGTTCGAAGGGGCTGAAAGCGTCGTTAAGGGAACATGTAGGTGTCCGAATTTAGATGCTTGTTGCTTCTGATGGAGGACTCAGAGGATTGGTTTGGTCAGGTACAGGGACGGCTGGCCCAGAACACTTGGGCTCCCCAACTAAAACCCCGACTCAACTTGAACACTGTAAACTGCTTTGGGGAAACGTTCGTCGCCCATGGATGATGTCATGATGATATCCACATCCTGAACTTGTGTTGGTCGCCCTTGCTAGGAACACATGGAACACATGCTGCCCTTGCTACGACCACATACTGCACATTGGGGTGATGACTTTGGATGTCAGGCGCAGAACCGTACCGAAACCACTGAGCCTATCAACCAGCACATGCAGTGTTTGAAGACACTGACACTAAAAATCTAAAAACCTGACCTGAAGCCGCCGTCCAGACTAAACCCTCATTGCAGGTTACTTTACGCTTCGTGTCGGCACTGAAGGCTTTCCGGCCCATTCGAATGGTGAGGCCAGCGGCTGTTAAATGAGCAGCAGCTTGTGCCTAAGCCGGAACAGGCATGAAGTGACTGCTGTAACTACGTCCCTGACACTCCGCCTGGAGTTTCAATAAAGGTGAGGAAAGTCAGTGTGCCCGACTGCCAGGAGCTTCAGACTCTCGCGGGGGCTCCGTACGCTCGTGAAGGCTTGCGTGGCTTGCCTCGTGGCTCCTTTGTCGCTTTGTCGATTTGTACCTGATGATCTTCATCGGATCTCATGGTGCAGTTTTTGTTTCTCCTTGTCCAGGGGACTTGGCCCTCTGAAAACTGGATGTTGGTGGCACTGAACATGAGATGCTCTTCAATGTTTGCTTCGTAACAAGAGCGAGTGTAGGTGTTGTGGAGCCTGTCGGTCCAAGCGTTGGTTCCGGCCACTACTGTTCCTTAGAAGGCACCGCCATTCGAAATAGGTTGAACATGGCTGAACATTTTAGTCTCAAGTCTCAGATCTTGCGAATGGCATGAGCGCAAGAATTTGCACATGTCCGGCGCGCTAGCATCTTTCCTTTCAGCCTCCAAAACCCGAAAGCCGCAGCAAATGTACCATATTAGGGCCTTTGACGAGCGTCGCGATGCAGAAGCTTATTCTCAACTTGTTGTTGTGACTTTCTTGAATTATTATTCTTCTTAAACGAATCTTTTAATTGGTACTCTCTCGATTTGAGGGCAGCTGCTGCAGTCTTTTGAACTGTAAGGTGCATGCTCAACTGTTGGCTGTTTCGTAGGTTGGTAGGCTTCTGTACGTAGGGCCAACTCTAGTTCGCTATCTGGCCAGGTGCATTGCTCATGCTCCTGTTGAGCCGGTGTCGTCTGTACATTCACTGTAGCGTAGCGCGAGACTGCCGGACAGATTTGCGACTACAAAGACAAAGACAGCACAAACCGAAGAAAATGGCAGCCACTGTGCGCAAATCGTTGTAGTATCAACGTCCGAATTCTAGTCTAGAGTGTAGTCAGAATAACCTATAGCCCAGCGCAGCAGCGACGGTGACTGTACAAGCTTCGGGCCTGGGCGTCGGTTCCTCCTGACCCAAACCTAAACTTCCAAAACTTGACTCGCAGGGTGGACCCCGAGTTTACCCGCTGCCGTGGCCCAGAAGCACTCTCCACTCTATCACGCTGTGGGGAGATGGCAGCACTGTTTGTCGAGTCCAGAATTTGGCCCATCACTGCCACCAAGTACAACAGCTACCTTCAGGTCCAGACGCCAAGGTGGTTTTTGCGCAAACAAACACACACATCTGCAAGCCATCCTGCGCAATTGGAGACGAGCCCACACCCAATGGGATCCCAACAATCCCCCCCATGCACATGCCAGTCAAGCACACAGCCAGTGCAGGAAACGCATTCACATACACCACCCAGCAATGTCGCGGTACAAACACCACGCCATACAATTGGCAGAGCTTTGCCCGGACCACCCTTTCCTAGCCTATTCCGGCAAGAGCACAGTGCTTCTCAAACCCAAACAAATCACTGCAACGCTCCTCGAAGCCATAGAGCGGCCCATGAAACCCAACGACCCCGACATCCAGGCCTTTTGCCAACAACGCTTTCACTTTCACTGTCGGACTCATGTGTGAAGGGGCCTACAAACTGCTACGGCCCCAGGGTCGGATGCTGCCTGATTTCATGCGGCACGCCTGCGGAATCAGCACAGGCCAGCCTGGGACTGAGGCAATGCTTGCGCAGGTTCCCTCAAGCTAGATGTGCTGTAGGGCTACAGGCAGGCAGTGCAGGAGGCAGCTTTCGCGACGCATTCTTTTTCCCCCCAGCAGCTGGCAACACATCCAGAAGGACGAGCCTGGTCATTTCAGTTTACTGGGATGCGCGGAAGGCAACCTCAACCTGTGCGGTGTCCGCGGGATCATTGCTGCACCCTGCACGTCAGGGCTCAGTTCAACTTGTCCTCGAGGATAGCGCCTTGCCCTCGACACGCCCAGTGGGGTACCGAGCCTCTTTGCCGGCGGTGTTCGGGCCAGAACATCACCCGGCGAGTCATCGGACCAGGAGCCAGCAGCACATTCGAATGGACGTTAAAGTTCAACCGCCAAGTCCGGCTCCGACTTCTGTGGTGTGCCCTGGCAGGTAGGCAGGTGAACCGGCCATTCCCGCTGGACATCGAACTGTGTGCTGGTGTCTGCAGCCAAAAGATTGGGTGTTTCGTTTTCGACGAATGACAAGATTGTATGCAGTGCAAGAGTGGACTTCGAAACGAATCGGGAGAAGAGCGAGGAGCAAGATCAGAGCTGTACAACAGCTTGGACTTGGTTTCTGAGTGCTGTGCATGTGTTTCAAGCTTGCTCAAGCTTCTAGGCTTAGAACCCTCTCCAGCGACTGGCTGAATTCATGTTGTACTCATGTTCTCTGAGCGCGCAGCCAGGTGTCAGCATTTTGTCGGATGCCCGTGGGTGTACGATTGACCTACAGAAGAAATTTAGCAACCCAGCTGGATTGATTTTCACACAACATCAATCCGGTGTCCCACCATATTGATCGAAAGCAATAAGCGATGCTCAACGTTTGAGGGTCACGGGGGAGCGTGCATGCTTCGACGTGACACCGTGTTTTTTTTTGTACGGCCCCGCAAGATGAACCATCATCAGTCATTAGACCAAGATCCTTACATTGCATCTTGAAACGGGGTTCTTCGTCTCAATCTGGCCGAAGGGCATCGCGTTTTGTGCCATCATCTGTCCAGTAGAGTATGAGTATGCTCTACCGAATTTTCAGTCAGCACGACATTCACATGCAGGCTTGCCAACGCTGCTTGCCTTCGCTGTGCTGGTCCATGCTGCTCTTGGCGTTCTTCATGTGTTTCTTGGATCGCTTGGATACCATGCCAGTGATGTGCCAGTCATGCGAAGACCGATTGATTTACAGACACAGTCATTTCCAGACTCAGGCATGGGAGCTTTGATCTTGGGTAACCTGCTGCAAGACTTCATCAAAGACGAAACGAGGCTTCTAGAAGACCGCATGTGGGTCTGGAATCGGTATGGCACCACTTACCGCGCTTTGTACACACTTTATGAGATAACATTCGCAGGGAGTCTTAGTCTTCCTAGCAAGACTTTTTGTTTTTCATGAACGCGAAGGACAAGTCCAACACCGGAGTCCGCAGGGGCTTCTGGTCGCCCTGGTCAACTGAGGAATTGGCCTACGAATGTCAGACCGATTCTCGAGACAGTGAGTCACGCTTACGTGATCTTCTATTTCCTGTACGTCACAATTATTGTGTTTGCTATCATCCGAGTGATATCAGCCATCGTTCTCAAGGACACCCTTGATGAGGCAGGCATTGTTTGTCTCCAAACTTCGCGGTTGATCTGAACACTTTTGGCACTTCAATGTTAGAGCAGGGACAGTGCACCATGATACGCTAAGAAGTCGGTCCCAGGAAAACATGCGAGATCATTTGGATGTAGATAAATGACAATATGTAAACAAATACATCAATCAATCAATACATAAGTAGAAAAAACAAAAGAATAAATGTATATATATATATATGTATATATATATAGAGTGCAGGTGCCCAGGTGCTTGCAGCAATACAAGACCCGATCTCTATTTTGCATATTCAAGGCGGTTACAAACATCCTGACAACTGCTTCGAACCGGAGCTGATGAGGCCAAGATGGATGCCCAGGAGCTGGTGCTGAACAAAATGCGAAAGAGAAGTTATGACATGGAGAGGCGATGGCAGTGAAACCAGTGCAAGACCACCCGAGCTCGTCTGGGAAACAAAACCGGCTGAAACCCCAGCCCGCTTCAAGCTCCGAGTTCTTTTTGCAGGTTGGAGGATGTGTTCTATGCCATGCTTGACGACGACGGCCGCGAAGCAGGCGCTCTTCGTGGCATTTGCCCATGCAGGATTGGAGGAGGGCTTTGTTCATCTTTGTTCGTTGTGGTACTTGGACATATTCGGACTTCACTGCGCTTCGCGGTACTTCGCTGTACTTCGCGTTGAACGCTGGCATCGATATCGTTCAGATTGTTGCAGCTGCAAAGTGGGTCGATCAGAGAGAAGCCACCTGCTCACACATCTGAAACCTTGCGGCCACTTACAGCCAAAGGAAACCCCGCCTCAAGGTATCCTCACGGAGAAGCGACTGGGCGAATTGCTTGCAAACCCGTCGCTTGGCTAGTGGTCCCATCAGTGGAGGTCAAGGTCAAGGGAGTCTGGGAACATGGGATGCGTCGCGTCTTTGGTGGCGTGGAGGCTCAATTCTACGGAAGGGAGAAGTTGATAGGAGTTGCCAGCTTGATCCCTTGGCACCATTTCTCTGCACACGTCCCCAGGCGAGGGCGTGATGCAACTGATTGGACAAAGAGCCCCTGGAAGTTCGCAAACTCCGTATATGCTTGTTCTTTCTCGTAACTACCAAGGAAGGTCAAAGCATACTTGTCAACGCTGGAGATTGATGTACAAGAGCCTTGGAAAGCAACATGATGCGAGCATGGGGGTGGAGGGCAATGTTGTTTCGGAGGATGTTTTGGGGTTCTGGTTTGGGGCCCATTGAGGGCTGCCGAAAACAGTGGAGCCCTGTTGGCCAGATGCCTTGAATGACATATGTGCAGCAGCTCATGAAGAATTCCATGGCCACAGATCTGATGTGCCACTGAGGACGGTGCTGCTTTGTTCCACCTATTGGACAGCGACGACCTGGGGGAGGCGGGGTAGGGAATGATGGTGCTCGCATCGGACCTGTAAAGTAGTCGGACAATCCCTGGACGGGTCTGTTTACGACCCGAGCATGCTCCAATCCTCGTAGCTGTCCATAAATGAGCCGGATAGGCCTCTTCATTCCCAGATGCGTTTTGCCAATGCTTTCTGCACTGAAAGTGCAGGTTCAGCTTTTGTCGTGGTCCATTTTGCAAGGTTGTAATGGTCCGGGTTCAATGATAGAGCCAGTCTTGCAGCTGGAGTTGTAGTTGTTACAACTGGTTTGCCTACGTTTGCAAGGTTACCTTGCATGACTTCATCAGCGGCATCATGAGATGCTTGTCCCCAACTTTTTTGAAGGCATTTCCTGCTGAGATGAAGATGTGGGTTGAAGAAAAGCCTCTGAGGCTTTGAGGCTTTCCAGGCTGGGTCTTAAGCTTTCACTATCACTGGTGCCGAGGATTCAAAGGGCGAGCCCGAGCGATCGACACTTTTGCGCTTCAGATCGGTGTCAACCAGACGCTCGCCGGACTAGCTCGGAGGTCACTGTAACCTTGAGGTAGTTGACCGAGCAGTGCAATCCTACAATGTCACAATCCCTGCCTTGTGAGCTCGGCGTTGATTCCCTTGTCCAGTAATTGTAAACGCTTGCGCGCGCTCGGCAGCCGGTCCAGCCCAAGGATTTTTCAGAAATCCGGGCCTGCATTGTGAGATATTCAACATGTACATATTTCGCTCTATTTTATATCCTTGTTGACCTAACGCTTGACTTGTTCGTTTATTGTTTCAATTTATAGATAAATGGATGAGGGAGAGCTGAGGCGACCAAGAGCGCGCGGGGTTCGGAGGGCTGTAGGGGCCTTGCAAGGGATCCCACGAGGTCCCACGAAGGTAGGGTGGTGGGAGCTGCCATTGTCCCACCAAAGACATGGAAGGGCCAGTTACATGTAGTAAGTGTGTGAGGCGTTGCCGAGCAAAGGTTAAAGGACCCAGCAGTCTCACGGCAGTCCATGCAGTTTGGAGGCTTTGGGGGGCCGAAGAGGTCCCAGTATCCCGGTTAGGTCCCTGGGTTTGAGGGTGGTCCTGGACCCAGGAGCGTGCGGGGTCGGCACCAACCCAGTTTTGCCCTCCGCTGCGTTGCAGCTGCCCCCAGCGATTTGGCAAGTTCCCACAGGGCGGGGGGGGGGGGGGGGGGCCAGTGAAAGGTTGGGAAGAGGAGACCTGGCTTGGTCTGGGAGGCCGAGGCGAATGTTACTGCCCACTGTACTAAGCGACTCAAATCTAAAGCGACTTTAGAGCGACTCCCAGAGCCCTTCTGGGCTACGCTGGCTTCTGGGTGTCACTCAGATTCCTTCGCAGAGAAGGCAAAGGTAGGCAGAGTTAGGCACTCTGGGAGCCAGCTGAGCCTTTGCTCCAAAGCCGAGGCTGGATGCCAAACTGCAAAAGCTGATGGTTCGGCTGAATCAGAATCAAGCTGACAAGCCAGTGTAGTGTAGCCAAACATGAGCCGCGTCGAAGAAAACGTCCTTGTGTTGGGTCTTTTTGCTTGAGATGGCACGGTTCCGCCTTGCGAAGCTTCATGCAATGGTCATTGGTAGAGTCATTGGGCTTTCGACCATACAGTGGTATGGGCCCCCCTTTAATTCTCAAGCCGTTCTAGTATGGGGCTGAAGGGATTATAGAATCAAGCAACATATATAGTCATAAGATATGCAATCAAGTAGACAGTAGGCAGTATTTACGGTAGCTTAGTCTTCCATGCTGCACCCTGACTTCAGACCACCCTAAACCCTGAGTCAAAGACCACACAACGTTCATCCGAACCCTTTGCCCACAAAGAGCCTCAAGCACTCTGGTCGCCAGGCTTTTGGGGTTCAAGGTTTCTGATGGTTGAGGGCCCAAGCCCCCAAGTCCCAGGCCGTAGACCTCGCCTGGTTTGTAGCGTTCAGGGTTTAGGAAACTCGAAGCCGTCGTAGAGTTCGCGGTAGCTCCCGGCAGTGTACATGGATTCCGACCCCCAAATCATACCTCTACCCTCAAACCCTGCAGAAGAGAAGTGTGAAGGTCATAAAGCCCTCGCCCAACTTGGGGTCTGAAGCATATACGGTGACAGATCCCCAAACTTGGCATGTAAGCAGAGGTTATGTTTCCCCAACTTTGAAAGCAATTATCAGCCTGGTAGACTCTGGTAGACTCTGGTAGACTCATGACAAGCTGTCAAAGCTTAGGGTTTCTGGATTCATGGCCGCACCTGGGTGTAGGGCTTTTGGGGTGTATTGGGGTTGGCGGTCAGCTCAGCGCCTCGGCGCCACGCAGATCAGTTGAGGCCGGTGGAGGGTGAGAACTTCGGAGGTTGAGACCGTTGAGGACCTGTTGAGGACCTCACATGAATTATGCTGTCACTTCTTATATAAGTCTTGAGTTAGACCTGCGGCCCATGCACCATGCGTGTTGCATGAAGTTGCAAGATCGACAGTTGACTCGTTGCATCCTTGTCCCTGCGTCTAAGCTTCCGAGCAAGTTGCTCCCCGCAGATTCTCGGCACGTCTCGGCGCTCCCGGGGCCACGGCCCGATGGGCTGCGTGGCCTCCAAGGACCTCCAGGCCGACAAGGAGGTTGTCTTGGCAGCCGTGAAGAAGAACGGCGAAGCCTTGAGACGCGTCTCTACGGAATTTCGGGCCGACAAGGAGGTCGTCTTGGCGGCTGTGAAGCAGAACGGCTTCGCCTTGAGATATGCCTCCGAGGAGCTGCAGGCCGACAAGGAGGTCGTCTTGAAGGCCGTGAAGCAGAACGGCTTCGCCTTGAGATACGCCTCCAAGGACCTCCAGGCCGACAAGAAGGTCGTCTTGGGGGCCGTGAAGAGGTATGGTGGAGCCTTGAGAGAGGCCTCCGAGGATGTCAAGGCCGACAAGACGGTCGTCTTGAAGGCCGTGAAGCAGAACGGCAAAGCCTTGTCTTACGCCTCCGAGGACCTCCAAGCCGACAAGGAGGTTGTCTTGAAGGCCGTGAAGAAGAACGGCAACGCCTTGAGATTCGCGTCCGAGGACCTCCGGGCCGATAAGAAGGTCGTCTTGGAGGCCGTGAAGAAGAACGGCGCAATCTTGAAACTCGCCTCAGAGGACCTGCGCGGCGACCGAGGCTTTGTGCTGCAGCTCGTGGAGGCCACCAAGGCCTGCTGGCTCTGCGAGTTCGCCTCGGAGGAGCTCCGAAAGGATGCGAGGTTCAAGCAGCAGTGCCGAAAGACAGCGGGCACGGGCCTAGTCTGGACCTACTACGACAACTACGACATGTTCGGCACCATGAGAAGCTGCTTCTCGACTAGCGGGGCGTCGATACCGGGCGGAGACGCGTACGGCGCAGTCATGGACCAGCTGAAATTGGCCACGCAGCACGGTGGCCGCTCGGAGACCTGCTTAGCTCTTCGAGGGAGGGAGATGCAGACCGGACAGTAGTTGTGTGAGAGTATACTGAGCATCTGAGAGGCTTGGAGAGTTGGAGTGTGACACTTGGCACGCGTTGAAGCATTAAAGGGTCAGGATCAGCGTCATGGACTTCTTATGCGCCCTGTGGCCAGGCAGTGCCACGGTCTGGTTTGGCGATACCCCTGTATGGGGCTTTGCAACTGGGGAGGGGCATGACAGGTGGGTGCACCCGCCGGAAGAGTGCGGCCGGGACAACGTCCCAGTGCCAGCTGTTGAGGGCCGCAGTCGGATGTGGAACGGCGTGGTGGAATCAAGATCATCCCGGATGCAGCCAGAGATAGGCAGCCGGCACCCTTGCCACTCAGATGAGATATCCCGCAAAACCATTTCAAACAGAGGGACCAGGCAGTTTGAAGGGGCACATGTTGTTACCCTTAGTCCTGAGTTGCAGAGGCTGGTGTTGCCACTGGCTGCGAGAAGTCAAACGGCAACACGACGAGGGGAAGGTGATCTGCTGTGCCGTCTCAAACATTTTCCAACCGGTTGCTCGGCTCACAATGCCAATGGACCACGTAAGGCGGGGTCTCAAGATGTGAGAAGACTTGTCATGTTGTCCATAGTCTGGTTCGTCGATGGCACCGTTATAGAGACTGGGAGTTTCAGTCCTTGGCATCTGAGGAGTGGGTGCGTACTTACGGTGCGGGCTCTTCAGAGCTTTCCGACGCCCGCGCCGAAGAGTTCAACCTGACCAAGCACCTCGGCTTCGTGCATCTTGGTCGTTTGGCAGGGTTTCTGCTCGGATCTTTGCACAGTGGCATGGCGGCGTAGACTCGTATAGGCCTGCCATTGTCACGAGTATTATACCATTGTGCCGCGAACTGACCTGCGCAGATCTGAGGGAGACCTTCCGGAATGGCCGGCCCGAAGGATGGGGCCAAGGCACGATTGAGATCGACCATGTTGTGCGTACTTTTGGGTACGCCCGCGAAGCCCCAGTTCATGAGTGGACGAAACTACCGCTGGGCGAGGGCTGTCGTTGGGAGCGGCAGACCCTGGACAAAATGAATTTTCCGGTTTATGCATTCTTTATGCCTTGAAGGGGCTGCAATAGCCAAGATGGGCCCAAAGGGCCTTCATGTTGAGCTTCGCCTTTGGACATGGAAGGCAAAATCAAGTTGATATTTCATCAGCTGAATTTGCCATCATGGCATGCAAATAGGTCACAACGCGCAACGAGCTATCAGCCCTTCCAGACGAGCTCAACAGCATGTTGAGCTTCGGGATCGCGTTCTGTGGCTGTATCACGGGGTACCCTCAAAAACCCCACAAACCCTCAAAAGCCCAAAAAGCCATAAACCCAAAGCTGCGGTCACGGGCAGCTCATCGTCAACATGACCGGCTTGCTGCTTCGCTTGGTGGACACCTCGCCGTGCCCCGCTCATGGCAACCCAACCCTGGACCCCCAAAATGCAAAGCAATTTAGGGTTGAGGCAGACTTCTATCCTCACGCTTAGCGCATGGATGGCGCTGGAATCTGTGCGTAGACAGGAGCACTTACCAGTCTCCTCGAGGTTGCTGGACGTGAGGCGAGCTGGTTGGTGTCCAACATTTTTCAGTGGAGAGAACGATGCACTCGCTTTTCAATGCTGGAATGCTTGTCGGTCCAATTAGAGAGTCGGCAATGCAACTCAGTCTGGCTCTTAAAAAGCGAGCCGGACAGCTCATAGGTGGCAAGCTCTGGCAACTGGTTTGCCAGCGACTTTCCTTTGGCTGCCTTGACCCCTTGGAGGACGGGCTTGGACACACCTCCGCTCAACACTTTGCGATTTTCAAACGGCTCGGTTTGGGCGTCGCGCGCAACATTGACGGCTACAGTTGAACTCGTCTCGTCCTGCAGTTGATTTCTTTCCCAACGGCACTGCCAGAGGCTTTCAAAAACGCTTGTTTAAAGCAATTTTCAATCGCAGACTTGGCAGTTCAAGAGGAGGCACAAGTGGAGCTTTCTGGCCATTGTTTCAAGCAGTTTCTCAAGCATTTTCAGAGATGTTGAAGAGCCATGCTTTCCTTGTTTTCAGCGTCTAAATTTGGGCGTCAAGGTCGTACCAGGACGGGGAGTTTGGAGTCCTCATTCAGGGGGCCCATTTGGCCGCAAAAACGACAACAACCCTCCGGCCCCTCATAGTACCCGAGGAACTCAGAGGGGAAATGTCTTTTTTTTGGAGCGTGCGCCTCTTTACTGCGTCAGCAGCCCAGTAGGCAGGTCTCGGAATGCAAAGTGACACGGCCCAGCATCACCACAACAAGCAAAGCAGCAGACAAAACACAACACAACCAAACCCAAACCCCAAGACACGACCAAAAAGACCAGAGGACCAACTTGAAACACTACGTGAAACAGGATGCTCGCGCTCTCAGTCCACGACCAACACAAAGTAGTCACCATTGAGTATGTCAGCACATGAGGCACCACTGGTGTCCAGACTGGAGTGGATCCTTTGCTCAAAATGCGTCATTCGGGTGCAATCCTGTAGGTCAGGAGCCTTGAGACGGACACTAGTAGCAGTAGCAGTAGCAGCAGCAGCATCAGCAGCAGCAGCAGTAGCAGTAGCAGTAGCAGCTACAGCTACAGCTATTGCCCATCATACACTATGGTAGACATTTCTAATGCGTAGGAGGGCAGCATCTCTTTGCATCATAGGCAACATAGCAGAGAGAGGTTGCAAGCGCAATGCGTGCGCTCGCCGCGTACCTGGAATCAACTCATGTCTGTGAATGTTGATGTGAGCCTGTTGAGCGGCAGGGCAGTTTCGTTGGATGCAGGCCCAGACACGCTGGTGGAAGCTTTGCGACGACGCGCGCAAGTAGCTTTGGGCGTCAAGAGGGGTCTTCTTGTCAGCTCTTCAGGTGAGATTCTGGATGAAGCAGCGACGATCAAAGAAGCGAGGCTGCGCAAAGGTGACTCGTTGATGTTGCAAGTACCAAATTTGCCTTGCCTGTCAAGCAACTGGAATGCGTTTGCTGCCATCCTTGGCGATGGATCTGTAGTTACATGGGGCAATACGTCATACGGTGGTGACAGCAGTTCTTTGCGGGATCAGCTTCAACATGTGCAGCATATTCAGGGCAATGAGTTGGCTTTCGCGGCCATCCTTGGCGATGGATCCGTGGTCACATGGGGAAATCCGTCCGCTGGTGGCGACAGTAGTGCTGTGCAAGATCAGCTCAAGAACGTGCAGCAAATCCAGGCCACAAGCAATGCTTTCGCTGCCATCCTTGGTGATGGATCCGTGGTCACATGGGGCGATGCAGACGAGGGTGGCGACAGCAGTGCTGTGCTAGATCAGTTGAAGAACGTGCAGCAGATTCAGGCCAGCGACTGCGCATTTGCGGCCATCCTTAGCGATGGATCCGTGGTCACGTGGGGCGGACCAGTGGTCAGGTGGGACGTTCCATTAAATGCTGGTGACAGTAGCGCCGTGCGAGATCAGCTTAAGAATGTGCAGCACATTCAGTTCAACGGCGGGGCTTTTGCTGCCATCCTTGGTGATGAATGCGTGGTCACATGGGGCGCTCCGGCATGTGGTGGCAATAGCGAAGCCGTGCAGTGTCAGCTGAAGAATGTGCAGCAAATTCAAGCCACCAAGAGGGCTTTTGCTGCCATTCTTCGTGATGGATCCGTGGTCACATGGGGCGATGCAGACTTCGCTGGCGACGACAGTGCTGCGCGAGATTAGCTCAGGAATGTGAAGCATATCCAGGCCAATGAAGCGGCCTTTGCTGCCATTTGTGATGATGGATCAGTGGTCACTTGGGGTCGTGCGGAACATGGTGGCGACAGCAGTGCTGTGCAAGATCAACTCAAGAACGTACAGCAGATTCAAGCCACAATGACAGCTTTTGCTGCCATTCTTCGTGATGGATCCGTGGTTACATGGGGCGATGCGGACTTCGGTGGTGACAGCAGTGCTGTGCGAGATCAGCTTAAGAATGTGCAGCACATCCAGGCCAATGAAGCGGCCTTTGCTGCCATTTGTGGTGATGGATCCGTGGTGACATGGGGCAATGCAGACTTCGGTGGTGACAGCAGTGCCGTACAAGATCAGCTCAAGGACGTGCAGCAGATCTTGGCCACTTGCGGTGAATATCAATATGCCGTTGTTGGTGGTGCTTTTGCTGCCATTCTTATGGATCCGTGGTCGCATGGGGTGCTTCGGAGTTTGGTGGTGACAGCAGTTCTGTACGAGATCACCTGGTCTGAGTTTGACCTAGTGCAGGGGCTGACCCATTGAAGGTGACGCACGTGAGAACAAGCCGCACATGTCCAATATCCGTAGTAGGGGCCCATGCTGTTTTTTGGCCACGCATAAAGCTGCCGTAAGGCTACCAGAGGAACGAGCATAGCCTTACAGGGAATATGCAGCAGATATGGGCATGTTTCAGTATGTTTTGATACAACCCCTCAGAGGCATCCTTGCAATTCAATCCCCATATGTTTCCTGATAAGAAGGGGTCCTACCATTTTGGGATTCAGGCCTCAGGATGTAGGTGACCGTGATTTTCAGAGAAACCCACATCTTGATGCTCACAGAGTCAAAATCATAAAACATGTCACCATAAACATAGTGCCAGTCATCAAGCGCTCACTCACCTAGTGGTGCAATCGGACTGACAGATTCTGCGCTCAACACCACTCCTGCAGGTGGCAAAAACAACTCAGCAGTTCCTAGAGCTAGGCTAACCGAGGTTGGTGTTGATTTGCTGATTTCCTCTGGGGTTCCTGTCCTCAAAGCATGCGTGGCCCCAGCATCCTTAGCCTTAGCTCCACCTGATGAAACCTGTTTCAGCGCTTCCTCGGGGATCTTATCTTGGGGCTTCGTTATGCTCGTCCGAGGCATGAGCCTGGAGAGCAGCAAGACGAAAACCTTTGAACAACTGAGTGGCCTCTTCAAAACAAGGTAGTTTGGGCTACTACTCGGGTTTGAAGCCTGAACTACGCTTCCCGGTCTCTTGGCTACTCTTCTGCCCTTTGTTTTTGCCTATCGCACCTTTTTCACCCTTGGCCTTACCCGACTCCCCCCAAGGAGACTGTGAAGGCTCCTCGCCTTTTCCTTCTCCTCCTGGTCGGTGGCAATCCGTAGTGGAATGACCCTTGGCACCACAATTGGTAAACTTTCCATTGGATTTGCCCACTTTGTCATCGTGAGGCAAATTACGATTTGTTTCCCTTACGACACCCTGTAGCATCATCAAAGAAACGACATCTCCACGTGCTTTTGTCCTGCCTTGTCGCGGCAGATGCTGCAGTGGACTGCGTAGCACTGGAGTCGCCTCCGTGGTCCTTCCCGCCTTTCGGGTTGCCCTTTCCCTTTTTCCCCCTTTTTAGACCCTTTTCCTACCTTAGGGTGCTCTATGGCTGCTACTCTAGGCTTCTTCCCATGATGTTCATCTTCATCCTAGACACCAAGTATTTCAAACTCACTCTGGAGGACTTTTGCAAATTCCTTGAGGGACTGGAGATTGGGGCGATGGTCAAGTTGAAAGATGGTGCGAGCTCCTTTGCACCGAAAACTCACATGAGCATGCTTCCCTAAACCCAGAAACCCAGAAACCCTAAACCCTAAACCCTAACCCCTAAACCCAGATCAGAGCCTCGCAGACTCGCAGCATGATATTTGCATCTGGAATGCTAACATGCATGTTCTGAGCTCGGTCGAGCGTTCTTTGCCGCAGCCTCATGCGGGCTACGGCGTCTGAGGGATCCTTTGCCCTCCCTCCCTGGATTGGACAACAAGTCACGCAACTCAGTGGGTTCCGCCAATCCCCCTGGCTGGTACACCCTCAACACATCATAGATAGCACCTACGCAACGCAGGGTTCTTGATGCCACTCAGCTCTTCTGTGATTCGGCTGGGCATTCCTGCACTCTACCTCACTCCACCACTGCGCGGATGAGGGGGCGACGTCTGCCATGGATGGTCTGATCAGCACCGGTGGGTTGCAACGCTTGCAAATTCCACTAGACCTTGTCACCTGCAAAAAGCAACCTGGGATCCTGAAGATTTTGGGGATTCTGGGACTCCCCCCCGAAGTTTACTTCGGTCTTCGTGACTGGCGAAGCCAACTGAGCAACATGACTCTGCACATGACTGTTGGCACCTGAACTGACAGATTGCGTGTGCAACTGTGTGTCATGTGTACCATACATGTTAGAGCATGTTGCGGTTTGGGGCTGGGCTGGTTTGTACCGCCGTTTCCTGTCACACCTGCGTTTCCAAATCCTCCACCAGTCCTACCTAACACCGGATCTCCTGACGCGTTGGTGGGGGGAACAAGAATTGAAAAGGTGGCACGCTTGGCAACGGGCGATCTGGTAACAAACCCAACTCCTCTCGGAGCTGCCGCTGGGCTCTGCAACAAACTCTTCGACTGCTTTTTCAGTGCTTGAAAGGGTTTTTTGCTGGAGACCCTAAACCCTAAACCCCAAGCCCTAAACCCTAAACCCTTAATTTGTTCTTTTGTTGAGGGGTGTCCACGAGCCGCCGTGGGCTCTTTCGTGGAGGCTTCTTGTCCTGCGTGCCTGGGTTTGGGTCAGCGCTTTCAACTGACCAACCTCACGAACTGGAGCGCTTGATCTTTCGTCCAAAACGTGCCAAACAAAATGCAACAAAACCAACTTATCACGATGTCACGATAAAGCCGCACTGTCTTGCATAAATAGCGTAGTCTTGGATTGCAATAGAATTGACGACCAAACGTGTGAATGCAACGATGGTCCATCTGTGCTTCATCTAAATACCGACTGACTGATGAATCGATTACAATGTTGGTGCTGGGCCATTGACTATGGATAAGGTCAGCGGCTTTCATTGTTCAAGATCGAAACCTGTCACGTCCATCGTTCAGTTTACCATCCAACCGCATTGAAACATCTCCATGACCGATGTAGTGAGTACTGATTGGCAAAGCTTTTCTGTTAGCAAGCCATTGTTGGCAAACGGTCGCAAAGATTGTCATTCTGGCCATGGTTGATTCTGCTTGTTTTGTCAACCGTGCTGCCGCGAGCAGTGTGTTCGCGTCGCCACCGTTGCTTGCTTAAGTTCGAAACATATCGGTACGAGTATGTTCGCTTGCATGCGTCCAGCAAATTTGCTCGTGCCACGGCTCATGAACTTCATGGACAGCGCTGAAGGTGGCTTAAAAACATTGACAGCCGCATTCGGCAAGGATGAAACGCACGTTTTGACAGAAGGAGGATCGTGGGCTTGCAACACCTGCAACGTGATGTCCCCGTGAGTCAGCGCATGTCAACAGCTGACTACTTTGGGCCTTGTGGTCCGTTTGTTTGGCATTGTTCCTGCTGTGAGAAAATTCGCGTGAGAGGCTGTTTGGTGGTTTTCTCTCTTTGGCCACGATGTGCAAGAGATGAGTGTTCGCATTCCGCTTTAGCATCTTAATCGCCGTGGGTTAGAGTTTCCGGGGTTGAAAAGTGTTCGTTTTGTTTGTAGCAATTTGCACACTTGATCCGACGGCCATTCGCAGCGTCTTTTGACCCTAAACCCTAAGCCTTAAACCCTAAACCCTAAACCCCAAACCCTAAGCCCTAAACGGTAGCAGGCCGATGGAAAACCCGATCAGTTCGGCTCAAGCACCTTTTCCCAGCACCGCCTGGTGTGGGCTGTCTTTGTAGACGGTCCCCAGGATTGATGTTTCTTGGCCAGCATGGGTGAATGAAGTACTCTGTGAGATGTGTTTGGTACCATCCAGCTCCTGATCATCTCACTGCTTAGTGTGCGTCTGCGGGCAACAGATTCCTCGTTTTGCAGGCATGTTCATTGCTGCATACTCTTCCAACAAGTGATATCGAAACCATGCCGGTTGGGTGCAAGTCAATTTGCCAAGGGAACCGGCTTTTTGCGATCTCAAGCCATAGGGATCAGTCGCAGCGCTTGAAAGTTCTGCGTAGCCAGTGCAAACCTGTCCTGAGGCTGGGATGCTTGGTGTCTACAGGCGAGAGTGGCAGTTGTGGGTTGAAAGCTGTTTACAAATCTCCTCATTCCGGACTGGGCAATGCTGAATGTTACGTCCTGTTGCCAGGCAAAGCTCCCAGGGCACGGCATATCCTAGGGTGTAAATTTCAATACCCTAAACCCGAAACCCTAAACCCTAAACCCTAAACCCTAAACCCTGAACCCTAAACATGCTCAGATGGGAAACTTGTTGCCCCGGCAGGCTGTTGAAGTGGCGTGCAGCCAGCTTCTAATCTGCCTGGACCACGGTGGAGGGAAGGGGGGAAATGTGGTACCCTATACAATGCCTTAAAAGGTACGTATAGGGGCCCTAATTGCCTCATTCCCTGCTAACCAACAGTAAGCTGCACCATGCTCCAAGTCTTGAACTTTGGACTTGAGAAATCGGTAGAGGGGCCGCAAACTGCTAAGGATGAGGATGTGGCGTCTGGCTGTGTTTTCCGCAGCCCTGCTAACTCCTCTACTCGGGCAAACCCCTACATGCTGGTTGTGGCCTGAGCGAACTTCCCCATCTTGAAGCCTTTGCACAGCTGTGTGGTGTACTGATGTGTACTGCAACTCGTGTTTGAGGGATTCTTCTATCAACGGCCTTGGCGTGGACTGCACCGGCGTCAGCGGAACTATGGAGGCGCGGCTGCTCCGGGCTTCCGGGGATCATTCCCCGAAAATTCCCGCGCCTGTGAGGTCTTGGGGGAGGTCTTGGGGGAGGTCTTGGGGAGGTCTTGGGGAGGGCTCGGTATGCTGCTTATGAGTGGGACTCAGTCTCGGTAAAGATGCCAGACAAACGCCTGTGCAGGTGCGTGTCCGGGCATTGAATGGCTTCATCCTGGCTCCCGCCAGAGCCCCAAACCCTCGGGCAAAGCTCTGGCTGATAAGCTGATTTAGGGTGTAGGGTTTAGGGTTTAGGGTTTAGGGTTTAGGGTTTATAGGAGGAAGGAGAGGAAGCAGGGTGTGGAGGTTGGGCAGAGGATGAAATCCAGATGTGGCACGTTGCGATCCGCGATCCGCGTCAGGACCCGTTCAGCAACACTGACAGCCAGCCAGCTGCGGCGCCATCCTGAAAGTGTGAGAAGGAGTCAGATCAGATGTAACTGTGGGTATGATGCAGATGTCAGTTTGCAGGATGTGGTCTTTGCGTGTCCTCTATGCGCTTAGCTTGTCAGCTTATCGTCGGAGCTAGGCTCGGCACGTGGGCTCCGTCGGCCGCTCGGCAATCGGGGACGACAGCCAGGACCAGGGCCAGAGAACTCCTCCAGTCCAACAGGGCATTGGGAGTTTCATGAATACTTGGGTTATAAGCGTAGCTCTTTTTTTCGGGTACGGATAAACCTTACTTCTAAGTACCCATGAACCTTGAAGCATCTCAGCTTAAGAGAGAGCCAGGACTGGGCAATCTTCACAGGGGACTGCGCAAGCGTCCTGCGCTCAGGGCACTGCGTTCGCAAGAGTGGCAAACCTGCGAACCTCCATGGCATGCGTTACTTTGAGGTTGCTTCCCGGTTGCCTCACCTGAGCTACAAAAGGCTGCTTGCCTGCCTGCCTGTGTGTGACATGTGCACATGTGTGCGCATGTACATGTGCACAGGTGTTATCTGCTTTGGGTACCTTTGAACCATGAGGTGCACGGACAATGTTCTTTATCTGCCATACGACGGCTTTGACAGCATTCAGTTCAAGGCAGGCGGTCCAAGCGGTGTCCTAAAGCACCTAAGGGGTAGGCGCACATAGCCATCTTCCTATGTGCGGAGTCCCAGGCAATCATGCCGAATGGCACCGTCAATGACTTCACGATCTCGATCGGCCTTGCCAATGATGCGTGAGCCTCATTGAATCCACACAAGAATAAACCCTAAACCCTAAACCCTAAACCCTAAACCCTAAACCCTAAACCCTAAACCCTAAACCCTAAACCCTAAACCCTAAACCCTAAAGTCACAGAGCGCCCCTCTTGCTGTTGACTTGATCAGACGGCAACCTTGGCTGCTCTACTGCCGGGGCCCTCAGATCCTCTTGGCTTCTACATCGACACATTCGCTTCGAGCGTTTCCTGCCGCCATAGATACCCAGGGAGTCTGACAGATGCTATGTCAAAATATAGGGATACCCAGAGAGTCTGGCAGATGTTGTGCATTTCGGTTGAATTTCTAGGGTTTAGAGTTTAGGGTTTAGGGTTTGGGTATATTCTTGCGCCCCGAGCAGGAAGACACAGCAGCTGCAGCCGTTGGAGGGGCCACCGAGCGGGGGAACCACGGTGCAAGTCACGGCCACAAGCTTGGCCTGCGTCATGAGAGGTCGTGGGAGTGACAAAGTGGTGCAGTGGCAGCCTGCTTTAGGATTTAGGGTTTTAGGGTTTTAGGGTTTAGGTTTTTAGGGTTTAGGGTATAGGGTTTAGGGCACCTTTCCGTTGGATGGTCCGTCTTCAGGTCGCGGGTCTGGAGAACTTCGATGGTGCACAGGCGGAGTCCACTCTGCGGTTGCAGAAGGCTGCAGCTTGTGTCTGCGCTGGAGCTTGGCCGCACGGGCGCATACCTCAAGCCCATCCGGGTTAGAGATGAGAGCCGGGTATGCTCCAGACCATGGTTGTGCATCCGGCAAGATCCTTAAGCCCCTCATTCCTAAACATACCTAGCGCCGTCCGCACTATCTTTCATTCTCAGCAGTCAGGGTCTACTTCATATGGTATTTCAACATGTCGCCACATCAATTGCATTAATGCGCGGCCCGCGCTGTGCCGTCTGTGCCGTGGTGCCATGCGGGACAAGGGACCTGCGTGGTATGGCCGCTGGGGCACTTGGGGAGACGCTGAGACGCTCAGCTGTCTTCTGGAGTGAGGCAGTTTCTGTCCCACACAAGTAGCGGTAGGCACCGCCCTGCTGTATGGTGTGTTTCTGTCATTCCGTCCTCATTTGAACACAAGTCGTTGCTGCCTAGGACCGTGTGCTTGCTCGCGCCAGTGGTGGCGGTCTTTGAGGCAAGTTTCACGGAGCCCCAGATTGAAGATGAAGAGCACTGGGCGAGGCTGCTGGAGGCCAGGCATGGAATGGTTTTTCTATCAAATCCACAATTCTAACCCTAAACCCTAAACCCTAAGCCCTAACCCCCAAACCCGAAACCCTGAACCCTAAACCATAAACCCTAAACCCTAGACCCTAGACAATAGGCCCTTGTGTAAACCACAGTAAGAATTGCTTGTGATGGTTTGTGCTTGCTTGCGCAGGCAGCTGGGACTGCGTTGCAGGCGGACGTAGCCGGCAGCTGCGGCACCTGGGCCCGAAGATCCTGCGTTTTGCTTTTTTGGGCGGAGGGGGGGGGGGGGTGGTTTAGGGTTTAGGGTTTAGGGTTTAGGGTCTAGGGTTTAGGGTTTAGGGTTCGGCTGTGGGAAAGGCTGCTTCAGCTGGCTCTGAAAGTAGGAATTGCTGTTTCTCAGCTCTCGATTTTGTTTCGGTGGCCCTGTCCAGTCCTCGCTGCTATCCACTGGAAGCCGGTGTGGTTGACCACGCGCACCCAGGCTGCACATAGCCCTGAACCCTAAACCCTAAACCCTAAACCCTAAACCCTAAACCTTAAACCCTAAACCCTAAACCCTAAACCCTAAACCCTAAACCTCAGTCAGGTCGAGGCCTTCTGAGGCTTTGCAGCGCAAGACAGGAGCTTTGTGACTTGAAGTCGCGTTGCATCTTTTGGGGGGTTTACGAAATAGGGGACCCCCCCAATATAGATCCCCAAATAGGGTTTAGGGTTTAGGGTTTAGGGTTGAGGATCCTCTCTACAATGGGGACTCCATTAAGAGTCCCCTAGTTTCGGAAACCACCTTTTCTGGAAATGCCACGAAGAGAGCTTGCAGATTCCCGAGGCCGGCGGCTGCTGCACGCACACCTCATCGGCGATCTGCCTCCCCATCTGTTGTTTATGGGCGGCCCCGGGAAGGAAGCGGGGGGGGGGGGGGGGATGAGCAAGCTTATGTTACAGGATGTTCCCTTGTCATGCGTTAATCTGTACCTCTTTGTGTGTATGTGTGTATATGGGGTTGTGACTAGAGGGATTCTCCTTGAATCTCAATTTCAATGTCGAGTTTCACTGGTCGGCGCAATGCTACCGGAGTGAGTGCACGAATTGAACGCGCCCAAGTACATGGAAAGATCAAATTCCCACAGCTATCCATTCGCAGGCTAGCATGGGCAAATACCTGCCAAGTGCCTGGCATGAACCCTTACACTCTAAACCCTTAAATCAACCTTAAACCCGCCAGATGACAGGTCTGCCTGCGAGGCAGTTCGGCATGCGCTGTGGTCCACCAAGCGTGGGCTGCTCGAGGGCAAGGCTCCAGGGGCAGGAATTTTCCGGGCTAGGGTTTAGGGTTTAGGGTTTAGGGTTTAGGGTTTAGGGTTTAGGGTTTAGGGTTTAGGGTTTAGGGTTCCGCCAGAAGTTTTCAAAGTTCTGTATGTGAATGCACACATCCGGTCATGACTCCGGGCTTCAGCACGTGCTCTTGAAGTCAGAAGATCATTCAGGGCGTGCCAGGAGTTGTATGAGCCATGCTACGAGCAAGCTGCACGTCTTACACTCAAGTCCTGACCTCTGAACGGTGTAGGGTTTAGGGTTTAGGGTTTTGGGGTTTAGGGTTTAGGGTTTTAGGGTTTTCGGTTTTGGGGGAGGCTTGGGCAAGCTGGAGATCGACCTTCGACACGGCGGACGTGAGCCCAGACAGGACGCACGGCAGGTGGGATGTGGAAAACCTCTTATTCCCGAAGCTCCTTCTAACAACCCTAAAACCCTAAAACCCTAAAACCCTAAAACCCTAAACCCCAAAACCCTAAAACCCTACAAACCCTAAAACACTAAAAACCCTAGAAACCCTGAAAACCCTAAAAACCCTAAAACCCTAAACCCTAACAACCCTAAATCCACGAATGGAGCACAAGACGCCGAAGCTCCAGAATCTCGAGCTCAAACCCCTGAGCCCCAGCCCAGAACCCTCCTAACTCCCGTACCTCTGAAGAGCTTCAAACCCTCAGCCCTGAACCTGAAACCCTTTTCCCCTTAAACCTTAAACCTTCAAACCCGAAGCCCTCTCACTGAAGCCTTCGACCGTAAACCCCAAACCCCAAACCCTACACCCTAAACCTTAAAACCCTACACTTTACCCTAAACCCCAAGCCCTAAACCCTAAACCCTAAACCTTAAAACCCTAAGCCTTAAACTCAAACCCTAAACCCCAAATACCCCAAGCCCTAAACCCTGAACCCTAAACCCTAAACCCTAAACCCTACATACCCCCAAGCCTCCAACCGAAGCCCCCGAGAGGGCGCGGCTGGCCGCGCACCGACTCTGGGACCGCGAGCCGAGCCCCGGCTTGGCTCTGGAGCTCCCAGCACACTGGGTGCCCCAAGGTAGGGGGGGGGGTTTAGGGGGGGGTTTAGGGTAGGGTTTAGGGGTCTTGGGGTTTAGGGGTTTTGGGGTTTAGGGTTTAGGGGTTTAGGGTTTAGGGTTTTAGGATTTGAGGGTTTGGGGGGTTTAGGCTATAGGGTTTCATGGTCTAGGGTTTTGGGGGTTTCGGGTTCTGGGGTTCCAGGGCTTTAGGGGTTCAGAGTTTTAGGTTTTTAGAGCTGTTTACAATCTGAGCTCTTCAGCTTGAAATGTCTTGCCATGTGCATGTCTTATTAACGGTTTATGCTCGGGCAGTATGGCGGCGCACAAGACTTCCACCCACTGTGACATCATGCGACCAAGCAGCGCCTAAGCAGTTAGAGGTTCCCGAAAATAAGGGTACCTCATTGGGGTCCTTATTATAAGGGAATCCTACTATTTGGGGGTCTAGATTAGAACTGCCAGTTGCTCCTGGAAGGCATGGTCGAAGATGCTGCCGCCCCGGTGTCCGCGATTTGTCCCGATTGCCACTGGCATCACTTCTTCGAGCTGTTCGGAGAGTGCCTGCTCAGCATCAGCCGGGTTTTCGGGGTCAGGTCGCCTAGGTTAGAGGGTTTAGGGTTTAGGGTTTAGGGTTTAGGGTTTAGGGAAGGGGTAGGTTCCCGAATACTCCCTGGATGAGGCTGTGATGGCTATGATCTCCTGAAAGGCAAAGCGAGATCCGAATCGCTTTGCCACGTAGCCTCTCGTATCAACCATGGTCCAACGTTACCACTCGGGAGAAGAACACAAGCATTAATTCATACATCTTGCAACATCCCACGATGCCTGCTTCCCCTGCTCCTGCAGACCTTCAATTTCAAAATTCTAAACCCTAAGCCCGAATCCCTAAACCCTAAACCCTAAGCCCTAAACCCTAAACCCCACACCCGCCCTAGACCTCTCCCAAATGCGGACGCCCCGAAGCCCTCAACCCAACAAAACAGCTGCTGGAGCCGTGTTTTCTCTCGGCACGAAGACTCCAGAATCCTGAGCCCGCATGGGTCCTTGTAAGTAGGGTTTCTATAGCAACCCTTAAAAAAGGTTATGGCCATAGTTACCCTTCTTAGAATCTACTACTTAGAAGTACACATGAACCTCCAAGTAGCCCTAAACCCTAAACCCTAAACCCCAAACCCCAAACCCCAAGCCCCAAGCCCTAAACCCCAAACCCCAAACCCTAAACCCTAAACCCCAAACCCTAAACCCCAAACCCCAAGTTCCAAGGCTCCTCCTCCTCGAGCGCGTGCTCCGGGAGCCGGACCGGGTGGTTCTCCTGGCGCTCTTTGAGCAGGGCTCCACAGCTCTGGCGCCTCGGGTTTTGGAGTTCGTGGGAGCTTTGCTGCAGGTAGGGTTTAGGGTTTAGGGTTTAGGGTTGAGGGTTTAGGGCTTAGGGCTTAGGGCTTAGGGTTTAGGGTTTTGGGCTTAGGGTTTAGGGCTTCGGGTTCAAGGTTAGACGAGTCTTCCTAGGAACCGAAGGCTTGACATCTTTCAATCAGTAGCATGCTTTGGGGTATTTCTTTCGGGGCGGGGGGGGACTCCTATGATGACTTGACTTGCATGAACGAATGGAAAAGGCACGAACCTCTCAGGCTGGCCGTGTACCCTTTTTCCCAAAGTAGGGGTCCCTAAAACTTCCCCGAAATACTACAATCCTTATAAAAGGAACCCCCGAAAGGGCATCGTTGTTTTTGGAGCCCCCCTCGCATCCTTCTTCGAATCTCACCGCCTGGCAAAGGAAAAGCCTTTTTTGTAAGTGCTTTCAGCATTCTTGCGGGGTCTTGAAGGGCACTAACTGTCAACCCGTAGAAGCATGTTTCAATCCACTGAATACGCTCACGAATGAAGCGAAACAAGTGCGTGAGACAAAACGGTGAAGATTCTCGTAAAATCTGGTTTTTGTATCATATGAAATTTTCATTTGGGACCCCCCATCGCCTGTCTAACCTTCTGCAATCTCCCTGTCACGCCTTGAGACCCTAACTCTTATTCACCAGGATTCTCATGCTGAGCTCTCTGGGAGTCAAGGGTGAGGAATAAGCGAGAACGAAGTGACTGCAAATCATTTACGAAGGTCGTGCGTTCCTTAGTTCATCTAGCGGCTGCTTGAAAGAGAAAGCCGCATGCGCGGCTGAAAGCCATGACCAAGTATGGGTAGTGGTAGTAGTAGTAGTAGTAGTAGTAGTAGTAGTAGTAGTAGTAGTAGTAGTAGTAGTAGTAGTAGTAGTAGTAGTAGTAGTAGTAGTAGTAGTAGTAGTAGTAGTAGTAGTAGTAGTAGTAGTAGTAGTCTCAGCAATTGGAAGGTTCAGGGTTCTGGCGCGTTGTTTGCGCCTGGCCCCACGCATGCAAATCTTTTCGGTGTAGGGTTTGTCGTGGAAGAGCTGCGCAAAGTGATTAAAGCTCCAAATGTCAGCACGATAGTCTGGCCATGTGCCACGAAGGCCTAAACCCTAAACCCTAAACCCTAAGCCCTAAACCCCAAACCCTAAACCCTAGACCCTGAACCCTGAACCCTAAACCCTAAACCCTAAACCCTAACCCCTAACCCCTAACCCTAAACCCTAAGCCTGACAGCCCAAGCTAAGGCAATGTACGAAGCTCTTGCAGGCCGAGTCCATTGACTCACTTCGGCTGCGAGACGTTGCAGGGTTTCGGGGTTTAGTTTTGGGGTTGGGGGTTAGGGTTCCGGGTTCAGGGTTCAGGGTTGAGGGTTGAGGGTTTAGGGTTTAGGGTTTAGGGTTTGGAGTTCAAGGGTCTTGGGTTTGAGGCTTTGGGGCTCCTGCTTGCAGGCCGCTGCTTGTACTGGGCCTGCCAAGTGTGGACACCGACCTTCCCGGCCCTCTGCACCTTGCGGGACTACGACATCCTGAAGGTGCCTAGGGTTTAGGGTTTAGGGTTAAGGGTTTAGGGTTTGGGGTTTAGGGTTTAGGGTTACTTGGGGGGCTTGTTCTGTGTCATGGCCCCTGGAGTTGGGACCCTAAACCCTAAACCCTAAACCCTGAATCCTAAACCCTAAACCCTAAACCCTCTCCCCCAGACGAGCTCCTGCGCCCGAAAGTGTCACCAGAGTTGTCGCTTTGCTGCTTGCAAGGCGCAGCTCTGCCGAGGAGAGCCGGTTCAGGAGCTTCCTGGGAGTGATTTCGTTTAGGGTTTTTGGTTTAGGGTTTAGGATTCAGGGTTTAGGGTTTAGGGTTTATAGGACAGATGGTACGGTTTCTAAGTCAAGATGTGACGGGTGAACATGGTAAGGCTTTCCAAGTTAGGGTCTTTAGTTCTTCATGATGTCCCAGGAGCCCTATTGTCAAGGGTGTGAACGGTTTTAACAAGTGAACGGGCGAGTTATATATTAAAAGCCCTATGAAAATATAAGGAAACTAGACGGGAAGTAACTAGTGCATCTTGAAAGCCCATGCAGCGGAGGACGATGAGGCGGCCTTCGTCTTGAGGCGCATGGACGGGGAGAGCGAGCTGGAATGGCAGCATCCGGCACCCCCTGAGGCTCCTTTCGGGATGATCATTGTTCATGTTGAAGCCGGGTTTGTATTTCTGTTTTTGGTGAGTGTATATAAGGTTCCTGTTTAATCTTGGTGAGTGTATATACCGGGTGTCCTTTTGGGGATACCAGAAATATTAGCCCTACTTCATATATAGTTCAGATAATTTACTTACTAATCATCTGAGTTATATATGAACAATGATGATGGCGGCGTGTTTCTTGCCGGGAGTATCTGAGATGCTTGCAACACCCTGTCAGGTTTCTCTAAGTTGTAGCCTGGGGTTAGTCCTCCTCCCAGGACTGTGACAGTACTTCGCTTTTCTGCCGTCAGAAATATCGGTCTTGGGAGCTGAGGGTCCCCTAAACCCTAGACCCCAAACCCTAAACCCCAAACCCTAAATCCTAAACCCGAAACCCTATACCCCAAACCCTAAACCCTAACCCCTACACCCTAAACCCTAAACCCTAAACCCTGTCGAAATCTGGGAGCTCCTGCCATGCCAGGTGCTGTTGGTTACGACGAACATGCCCGCGGTGGTTTGCGGCCGGGATGGCCCTGTCGCTCTGCGCCTGGCGCATGTCTCCAAGGACAGGAGAACACTGTGCTTGCAGGGAAAAGGGTTCAGGGTTTAGGGTTTAGGAGCCAACCAACTTCTTGTCTTCTTTTTTGCACCCCTTGCTACAGGCTCATGCAGTCCTCCGCCTTTTCAGAGACGCCTCCTCCGTGCCAGCAACATGGAAGCTGACTGTCCAAGACACATCGAGCAACGGGACCTGGGTAAATGGACCCTGTGTAAAATTCAGCAGTGTTTGCTTCACAGAAAGTACTTGGACTTTGGAAGCTTGTACTATATCCCCCTTGGAATTTTTTAAATATAAAACCCAAGAGGACATTAATCATATTATTTGTATTAAGGCTCCAAGGGGAGAAAAGTATCAATGCTATACTAACGTTTAGGGTTCTCTGGTCCTGAACCCGAGCGTCCGCACGGCCAAGGTGTGAAGCTGCAGCCCAAGGCTCAGCAGGAGCTGAAGCTGCATGACCAGGTCTGCTTCGTGCCACCTGCGCATGCCGTTCGCCAGCTGGTCTACCAGGTTCCCTGGACATGGGCCTTGCTGGGGGGATGGGGGTTTGCGGGTTGCATGACTCTGTGCATCCCTTGGCCCTGCGAGCGCGCAGGTGCTGCCTGGCAGCGCGCTTCCGCGCCATGCGCCCGTGGCCAGTGCGCCCAGCACTCCCAGCAACGTGCCCGTGCCGACAGCAGCCCCTGGGATGTCGGGTGCACCTTGGCCTTCTGCGACCTTTGGTGGCATGTGCCCCAACTGCAAGAAGAGACAGGGCTTTGGGGACGCCTTCTTTGGAAGCAGCTCACGCGCGCATCAGATCCTGACACGACTCGTAGCACGTATGTTAAGGACACCCAGACCAAGCAAGAGACCCAGACTGCAGGCAGGGGGCACCATCCCATGCGCGAAGCCAGCTTGTAGCATTTCGGCTTCAATCTTGCTCGGAAGGACGACTCGCTGTCGTCGTGGTTGGGGCCCCTTGGCTGTCAAGCTTGGATCTCTTCGGACCTCTGCCGCAGCTAAGGGACTGAATTGAGTACACAGGGAAGCCTATCTGTTGGCCCATGCTTGGGTTTGGCAGGTAGAAACTTAGAGGTTGTTACACTTTCCAAGTGCAGGTCTCTGGGAGACCTTGCGGTCTTGCGGTACGAGCATCAGCTACTGCAGATGGTTCCTGCTGCGACCGAACTGCGAGACTTGTATGCCTACAACATTAGCCTTTTGGCTGCGGTTATTCTCATAATTTTTGATTACCAATAGTCTTGGAAAGAGAGAGAGAGAGAGAGAGAGAGAGAGAGAGAGAGAGAGAGAGAGAGAAAGAGAGAGAGAGATCTCACCGAGACTGGACTTGGTCTGGGCGCGCCCAGTGCGCGGGGGGCCCTTCGGGGTTCCTCAAGCCCCGTAGAAGAAGAAGAAGAAGAAGAAGAAGAAGAAGAAGAAGAAGAAGAAGAAGAAGAAAAAGAGAGAAAGAGAGAAAGAGAGCAAGAGAGAAAGAGAGAAAGAGAGAAAGAGAGAAAGAGAGAAAGAGAGCAAGAGAGAAAGAGAGAAAGAGAGAAAGAGAGAAAGAGAGAAAGAGACAAAGAGAAAAAGAGAAAAAGAGAAAAAGAGAAAAGAGAGAGAAAAGAGAAAAAAGAGAGAAAGAGAGAAAGAGAGAAAGAGAGAAAGAGAGAAAGAGAGAAAGAGAGAAAGAGAAAAGAGAGAAAGAGAGAAAGAGAGAAAGAGAGAAAGAGAGAAAGAGAGAAAGAGAGAAAGAGAGAAAGAGAGAAAGAGAGAAAGAGAGAAAGAGAGAAAGAGAGGAAAGAGAGAAAGAGAGAAAGAGAGAAAGAGAGAAAGAGAGAAAGAGAGAAAGAGAGAAAGAGAGAAAGAGAGAAAGAGAGAAAGAGAGAAAGAGAGAAAGAGAAAGATAGAAAGAGAGGAAAAGGAAGAGGAAGAGGAAGAGGAAGAGGAAGAGGAAGAGGAAGAGGAAGAGGAAGAGGAAGATAAAAAGATAGAGAAAGAAGAGAAGGAGAAAGACTCTTGCACTTTCCGCTGCATCGGCGCCGCTCTCCAGAATCGCAGGGCTTCATAAACAATGTCACAAGGACATCAGAACACACCCTTCGCAGCTGGAAGAAAGAAAGGGGTTTAGGGTTTAGGGTTTAGGGTTTAGGGTTTAGGGAGCCCAGGCCGCTTCCTTGCCGAGTTGGGTGTCCGCGAGGAGCACAAGGCCACATTCAGGCGAGGGCCCCACTTCGGAAGGGAAACTTGAGAAGTGCATGTGTGTACGTTTCCACGAACCATCTGGGAACCCTAGACCCTAAACCCTAAACCCTAAACCCTAAACCCTACACCCTAAACCCTACACCCTAAACCCTGAACCATACTGTGAGATCACTCGCAGGAGGGGCCTTCTGCAGCTGCGCCACGCGAGTTGACAATCGAAAAGGAGCGTCCTCATGGTCCGGGCTTAGCTTGCGAAGGAGGGTTTAGGGTTTAGGGTTAGGGCTTAAGGTTTAGGGGCCCAGAAGCTACTGCTTCTGCTGTGTTGGGAGTCTGAGTTTGGGCTTACAGACTTTGGCTTTTGTGCTTGTCTTGGGTAGAAGCCAGGTGCTCGAGATCGTCTGCGAGTTTGGCTCTCCCTTCTCGGTCATGACCTCCATTGCCGAGTGGACCCCAAACAGCTGGGGGCCTCAAAGATTGGGTTGAGGGTTTAGGGTTTAGGGTGAAGGAGGTTTAGGGTTTAAGGAGATTTAGGGTTTCGGGTCTAGGTTGTAGTTTCTTCTTTCTCAAGAGCATGTTTGGTCAGGGGTTTGACAGGGTCTTTGAAGACACCTGTCTAAGCTGTGTAGGGACTCAGAGAAAGCTTGTTGGTGATAGGCTTTTGGCGATTTTCGCCCTACCCTTCACTCCCACTACTGAAACCATACACCCTGTTTTGATCCCTCAGGCGCTAAGCCTTAAACCCCTAACCCTAAACCCTAAACCCTAAGCCCTACGGCCCTCATCTCCTACGTGGCATCAGTCGAGGCAATCTCATTCACTGTGTGAGTCCCCCGCTCTCGCGTCGACTGGTGCCGGACTGAGCAGAGATGGCAGCCGTTGGAACCTTTTGGAACACTTGTTGTATATGATACGTAGTGTATGTATAAAAACACATAAACAAACAAATCAAATAAATAAATTCATAACACATATATATATATATATATATGTGTATTCTTGTAATATTCTATACTTTCTAGAACTATATATGTATATATATATATATATCTGTTGACATGCCTTCTACTCTCACTGTGAGCAAGGTGGCAGCGCCCGAACTTGGAATGCCCGGATACAGCGAGGTGTGGAGCCCTTTGGTCAAGCTGCAGCCCTAAACCCTAAACCCTAAACCCTAAACCCTAAACCCTAAACCCTAAACCCTAAACCCTAAACCCTAAGCCCTAAGCCCTAAACCCTAAACCCTAAACCCGTGTGCATCAGGCAGTACCCGTCATGCTTCATCTCAAGTACTATGCGGAGATCTGAGTTCCTGGCGAGTCAGCAACAGAGACACGACCAGAGCTCCTCCTGTGAGATATATGCACTGACAAGCCCCTTAAGTACCCCAATAGGGTTATAATTGGGTTATAATTGGTTTATGATTGGGTTACAATAGGGTTATAATAGGGTCATAATTGGGTTACAAGTACCGTGACTATTTGGTTACCAAGTACCATGAACCTCCAAGCAGAGACAGGACCAGATCTCCTTTGGATACCGTTACCGAGGTCTTCAATGAAGGATGGAAGCGCAGCGATGCGCTGACATTTACATATCGGCCTGCAGGGGGACCGAGAATGCCTAAAAAATGGCAGCAAAGCATTCGTTGCACCGCTTCATGCCCCTCATCTTCTCTGAAGCCAGCCGAGGCAGTTGAAACGGTACAGAACCAAACGCCGCGCTGTCCCCAGATGTGACTAAACCCTAAACCCTAAACCCTAAACCCTAAACCCTAAACCCTAAACCCTAAACCCTAAACCCTAAACCCTAAACCCTAAACCCTAAACCCTAAACCCTAAACCCTAAACCCTATGCGGAGCTGCAATTGGTATTGTAGAAAGGAGTTGGTATTGGAAGTTGAAGGGTCAATGAACCCGGTAATCTTTGGCTCAAGCCATGACCAAAGCGGTCAAAGGTTTCGTAAAAAGTGTGCCCTTGGTTTGGGGTCTTGCTGTTCGGTTGTTGGTTGTTCCAGGGGTAATAAGGGCTTCTGTTGGGGTTGACTGTCTTGTTCCCTGTCCTCCTTCGGTTGCCCCCCGTAGGTTATGAGCCCAAATTAGGCTTCCTGCGGAATTGGTAAAGATTTTTCGTTTGTTTAACGCCATGGACATGATGCGGCGTCGCTCTGAGCCTGGACTGTCGCCAACGGCCAATGAAGCCGAAGGAAATCGTGGTGATGGGGGTGAAGATCGACAACAAATGGTACAAGCACTGACAGATGGTAGGGAGGTTGCAATGATACAACCAACGCCTCAGGTGGAAAACGAAGTGGTTCCGGTTCAAGCAGCAAATCCTTTCTGGAGCGAGCGGGCTCAAGAAGAAATGAGACTTAGGCAGTCAAGGCCGGCAAGTCTTCCCGCGAGCGGAGGGGACAGGAGCGGTGAAGGTACGAGAAGACCGCCTTCGCTGCAAGATCTTTTGGGTCAGGAACCTGCACCTGTTGAGAGACCATCGTCAGGTTTAATGGGACAAATGGAACGAGGTACTATTGGTGGAGTGCAAGCCGACGAGGAACTCATTCCTGATATTAGTGGTGATATGGCGGTGGTGAAGCGTGCGCTGAAAGAGTTGCTTGTGCAGACAAAGGAGCTGGGGAACAGGTTGCATCGGGTGGAGGAGAAAAGCTATACCTCTGCTGCATCTGGGTCAGCTTCAAGGGCACGGAGCTCTGGAGTGGTGGACGCAAACACGGCATATCCTCTAGGAATGACTCCAGAGAAGCAGTACCTGCCAGGACAAGTTTTCTACACGGATGGTATGGGTGGTTTTTGGACTGTGTTGCCTGATGGGACATGGCTGCCTATTGAGGGCTACGACCTGCCAAAGGGTTGTGATCTTCAATCCTTGCCTGGGTCCAGGAAGGGGGATGTTCAAGTGGAGGATGAAAAAGAAGTGCCAATGATGCATGTAGCTGAAGGGAAGAAACCCTCCAGATTGCCTCCATTGAATTACCCCACGGGAGGTCCTGCAAGTGGTGGATATGCAAGTGGACCACCTGGTTTAACACATGTTCCGATTACTTCCATGCCATCAGGTGTTGATGGTTCTGTCGCACCTGCGGGGAACCAGCCCGGTTTTGTTTCAGCTCGGGAAACTGCAATGCAAGAGAACTCAGCAGGATCGGGTGGATATACAATGGTGGATGATGTTCCGTATCGGTGGAAAATGGTCGCTGGGAAGTTGGAATTAGAAAAGGTTCCGCTCACAGCTGTTACGCCCGGTATAGGACATGGACTACCTCAAGGGCCTGGTGGTAGGGTCAGTTTACCTCCTGGAGCAGTGGTGCCACGCGGTATGCCAATCACTGGTGATAGTTCTGGAACCGAACGTCCGGAGGCTCTCGGGAAGCATGTGATGAGCCTTCCAACTTTGGCAGACTACACACCAAGCAATCCGACGGCACTGGGTGATTGGATCGCAATGATCGAACCAATGTTGTCTTCGCTGACAGATACAGGAAGAGTGTGGTGGCAATGCGTCTACTCAAAGGCATATCAAGCGTATGCCAAATGGTTGAGTGTTTCTCCACTGGAAAGGTTGGGCATCAAGGCTGAGCTAGAAGGGCTCAAGGTGGTTCAAACTGTGCATGTTTTGTTGGAGCAGAGAGCGGTGTCTTTGCTGCTACAGGCGATCCCGGAGAGATTGAAGACCGAGATCGTTTCCACTCGAATGTTGGGGTCGGTGATGATATTTTACAAATTGCTGACGGTCTACCAACCAGGTGGAGCAAATGAGCGCAGCACAATGTTGAACTTCTTGGTGCAACCATCTTCAGCAACCTCAATTTCAGAGGCTATTAAGGGAGTGCGACAATGGGCGCAATGGCGTTCCCGATTAAGGGAGCTGCGAGCATCCGAGCCGGACGCTACCTTGCTTATCAAGGGATTGGATGCTTTATCATCCGCGTTGCTGGCAAAACACCCTACGGTGCATTTCAGAGTGGCATCCTTTCGGGAGAAATTGGGGGTGGACTACTCGCCGACCTCTGAAACTGCAACACAACTAGCTGAAATGTTACAGGCAGAGTTTGAACTGCTATTGCATAGTGCTGGTGAACAAGAGGTGAAGCAGGACTCGGACGCCAAGAAAAGGGCCAGGTTAAATAAGGCCCAAAAGGGAACTGGTGACGAGACAGAGGAGGGTGACAAAGGCAAAGGGAAAGGAAAAAGGTATAGCGGAGATGGTGAACGTCCTTTCTGTTGGATATATGGGAAGACCGATGCAGGTTGCAAGTTCGGAGCCCGCTGTAAATTCCGCCATGACAAAGACTCCCTTGAGCGAGGAAGATGTTTTGAGTGTGGGGCCGTTGGCCATCTGCAGCCGCAATGTCCATATAAGGATGGTGCAAGTTCCAATGTGGACTCAAACCCTGAGAGGAGTAGATCTAAAGGGAATTCTCCCAAAGGGGGAAAGGGCGGCAAAGGTGCGAAATGGGGAAATGCCAAAAAGGCAGAGGTAGCTGAAGGGGGAGATGAGACAGCTAATGCGGGATTGGATAAAGGTTCTGCAAGTCCCTCATCACCATCAACACCCAATCAAGTCCTTGCTGAAGCGTTGGAAGTGCTGAAATCTATGAAGCTGTCATCAGCGCAGTCAGCATCAAGCGGGGATCCCAGTGTTCGAATGTTATGTGGATCTGGATTGTTTCAGCAGGAAAGGAGAGTGGCGTTGGTGGATACGGCTGCTACGCATCTTGTGCGGACGCTTTTTCCATGGGAATGTTTACCCGACACTACTGTTATGGTGCAAAGCGCGCTTGGTGGTGTGGCAATGAGGATTACAGAGAAAGGGACGTTGATTAGGGAAGACAATGGGCCCCTGATTATCCCTCTCTGGTTGATTTTGGAGTTTGGGGCGAACCTCACGGTGATCAATGGGATGTGTCACGTGGGTGCAAAATCTTCGCTGGACCAGCTCTTGTGGTTTGAACATGGCTGTTTGGTTATGGATTACAAAACAGCTGAAAAAATGGTTTTGCATGCTGAAAGGCAGCGTGCGTCTTGGTCCCATTCTCAATGGAGGAATGGAAGGGCGGACTGTGGAGTCGGTTCGTCGGATGCCACGTTGTTGCCGAAGCAGGGAGAAGGCCGAGGAGTATGCGTTCTACATGTGGCCAGGGTTTCTGACACCAATGAGTGTTCGGGAATGGGCATGTTGGACTCGGGAGCATCAC